ATAATAATCATACTAATGACTTGATTCAATATTCCATATTTGGTGTATTATGAAATGCTCTGGATACAATATTTCTATAAGTTTATCTTACTATGCTTATATCACCAAGACATATTATCTACATACATATTTATGTGAATGAAATTTATAAATTATATAGTTATGTGAAATATTTATAAGAAAATAAGAATCTATAGTTTGTGAATTAGTATCAAATTTAAGAATATAAGCTTTTGATTAAGTCAGCTATTACAATGTGTTCACTATAAAATTAGTGTGTTAGATACAGAACAATAGAGTTTTGTAATTTTGTGTAAATATATGGATTCTATTATGACTGTATTTCTTTACGATGTAACATATACAATCGGAAATATGTGAAGTGAATGTTTAACATCTGATAATGTCAATAGTTTGTGAATGTCCATCCACAACTATATTCATCAATACATTAAAAGATTCCACAGGTTGAAATCATGAGTTAGTTGAAGCTAGACCACCATTGAAAACCTGGAAGCACTGGACGGCCGTTTCATCCTAGTCTGGGGCTCCTCAGCAGTGCGCATCCACGATCCAGCAGTGGAGTTCAACTGGTCTGTTGTGAGATAACAACTCACTGAACACAATGGTTTACGGTGGCGCAACTTCGTGGATTGATTGAAGTTAGACATTAACACCGTTGGATGCCGGCTCAGTGGTCTAGTGGTTAAGTGCTCGCGCGCGAAGCCAGTAGGTCTTGGGTTCGAGCCCCGCGTGGTGCGGGATCGTGGATGCGCACTGCTGAGGAGTCCCATACCAGGACGAAACGGCCGTCCAGTGCTTCCAGGTTTTCAATGGTGGTCTAGCTTCAACTGACTCATGATTTCAATCTGTAAAAGATTATTGCATAGAACTAACCAAAGTAATAGTATTGTATTTGTCCTGCAAGTGCTATGGTGTTCAATGTGAAAAAGAGTGAAAAATGTTTTCGATAGACATTTCTAAATTAAACTTTTGTCTTTAATTTTACTTCACAATTACTATCAATAAATAAGTTTGACAGCGTTAACAGAGAGAGTTAAATAACCAACTAGATGCGTTATTACTACACTCGAAGAGAACAGAATACTAAGCTTGAAGGAAGATATTATACATCTTTATTAACTTAAGATGATGTTCTACAAGGTATTATTTACCGTAAATTTATCTGAATAATTTGCTACCACTGAATATAATCCAATTCCTACCTCCTTATATGTGCTGGAAACGAATGAGTTCTAGGCGTTCATTGGATAACGGTTTATTTTTAATTGTCTTCCACTTAATCATATTAAATGCCAAACTGTTAACTTTAGCCTGAGACATAAAAAGCATTTTAACACCCTGTCGAAGTTACATGAAGTTTATACAATAGAGATTTTGTGATAGGAACTATTCCCAATGTTATTTACCTTAGTGTAAGTTTTTCCTGTAATCTCTCTTGGCCTTCTCATGTTCTGCTAATATCGAAAAAAAAGTTGTTCGTTTGACATTTTATCAAATGATTACAAGTATTTAGCACTATTCAACACTTTCATGATTTGCAACTTATTATATACTACCTATTATCCTTTAATGTTCTCCTTTATTCATTCCTAGTCTCTTCAGAAAATTTTTTAAAATTATGTTTCAGAGAGTGTTGAAGGAAGCTAAAAAGATATTTGATGGATCTTTTAATCAGAATGGGTTTTGTGGAGAGTTTTAGAAATTTCACAGGTTGAAATCATGAGTCAGTTGAAGCTAGACCACCATTGAAAACCTGGAAGCACTGGACGGCCGTTTCATCCTAGTATGGAGCTCCTCAGCAGTGCGCATCCACGATCCTGCACCACGTGGGGCTCGAACCCAAGACCTACTGGCTTTGCGCGCGAGCACTTAACCACTAGACCACTGAGCCGGTATCCAACGGTGTTAATATCTAACTTCAATCAATCCACGAAGTTGCGCCAACTGACTCATGATTTCAATCTGTGAAATTTCTAAAATCTCCACAAAACCCATTCTGATAATAATCTTTTAGTCATTATTGTTAAGATTTAAAACATTATGTTATACTGTATTTCATTAGGTCTATTATGATGTTAGTTAATTGTTTTTATTATTTTCAATAAACAAAAGTTGAATTTCCATATGGTTACATAAATGTAAATGAAACCAATTCATTTTATGTAATAGATTCATTAGATTATTTCATTTGTGAGAATAGTGTTTTACCACTAAACTATCATAGTATATGATGATTAGAATTTGTTGTTGTTGTTGTTATTAATAAAGCTTAAAACAATAATCTGAAGTATTTCAGTTAAACATTGTAAACGATAAATGATTAAATGGTACTGATCAAAATGGATTGGTTTCTATTAGTTACTTGATAAATGTCAATATATCATAAAATGCGGTCTTCAAATTCAACAGTAACACTTCTATTTGTCAGTTTGACTTTTATTATTATTATTATTATTTATTGATAAAGAATTATAAATATTTGCCTATACCAGAAACCATTTAAAGATTCTTTCCTTTTAATATGTCAAAATTATTTCCAAGAAATGAAATTCATATAACAATTCAAATGTTATGATAAAGAAGAAAAATGAAAGGATATCTTACAATAACTTGAATATATCACATTTAATTGTTATCATAGTATAAGGGTTATTTACTTGATTGACATAATCACTTAAATGTAAAAGATTTCAATCAATCAAATTTAATAGATTCTATTTATTGTGTATAGATAGTTTATAGGTTTGTTTATTGTCAAAATTATCATGAAAATGAAATTCATAACTAGTAAGTGATGAAGCAATGATGGATAGTGGTTACCAGTGGAATCCAGGACGCGCATTTTGTCCTATTTGGAACTTGTCAACTGGATGTTCACTATGGGACTCGAACCCAATACCACTCACTTTAAACGCTATCTTGTTATCCACTTAACTACTGAGTCCTGATAGCCACTTGCTTGTGCAATGTAGTGAATTTAAATTCACTTGGTATTATTTGGCTTGTATCTTACCATTAAGGTTTAAGACTGAAATTGATCAGTTTGTTATCGGCATATGTGCATACTGTGCCTATACCTCGATATTGCCTTAATTCACAAGCTTTTTGTAAGCAATGGTGGATAGTAGCTAGCAGTGGAAATTAATGTCAACTGCTAAAAGAGCTACGATAAGCGATTTTTTTAAATAAAAAAGAACATTTTCAAAGAAAGTTAATGTGAAACCAAACAGTTCGTTTTTTTGTTTCAACTAGTATCCATTATAAAAAAAATAGTCAAATCTATCCCTTCAAATAAACTGATGAAGATTCTAGCCTATTATTCAAAATGTTACTATTGCACTATATAAGAATTTACTTTACATAAAGCAAGTTTATCAATCTTTAGTTTATTCTAAATCTCTTGAAGTTTACAGATAAGTCATATAGATGAGTAATAATAATCATTAGCGCTAAAAATTAAGAGCCTTTGTTGATCAATTCTAATCCTGAAAAATGAAATATATTCAGCTCAGCGTTGATTTATTTAGTTGTTTCCTTTTTATTGTTTAATTAATCCATAGAGAATGGTTGACGTTACAGGCTGATTAACACAAAATTAGTTCTTTTTTTGATGATCATTAATTATTTTATAAAGTTTAATCTTTGGCATTTCTTTCTTCAAATAAGATTAGTACATTGAAACTGAAAGTATTTAAAAGGGTTTCATTTTATTGTTGTGGTTTTATATATTCTGTTTGGTAAATAATGAAACATTCTGGTCGATTATTAGTAAGGGATTGCTCAACTGATAATTCATATGCTCTAATCCATGTGGTTAAAATTTGACTATTACATACACCTGGTTCCATACAAGAAACCTAGGTTATTTCTAGGGATTTTTAGTCATTAAGTGTACAAAGAAAATTTTTGTCAATTTAATAGATTTTAGTAATTTAATAGTTGAATTCATGAGTCAGTTAATGCTACACCATAATGGAAGATCTAGAAGAGGCGGGACTCGAGTCCAGGGCCTTCGATATCCCGCGCGAACACCTAAACTCCAGACCGCTGAGCCAGCATTCAACTGTGTTAACGTCTAACTTCAACTAATCCACGAAGTTGCATGACTATCTTTTATTGTCTGAAGTAGATACCTGTCTCTACCTGACACGGATTAGCTCCACTAGTCACGACTTCTAACATTGTTTGATTTATAATTTCCATCAAAAAATCTATTAAATCCTTGATAACTAAATATTACAACATTTTAACTTGTCAATAATTTCATTTATTTACATTTTGAAAGAATGCTACACATCATGAAATGATATTCTACAAGATAATTTTATTGAAAAATAAGTGCTATAAAGCACATCCATACTTTTTACGTAAGATGTAAGTATAAAACAATAGTTTACACAAGATAAACTATTTTCATCCATTCAAACTATTCATTTGACTAAAGTGAATTCTAGACCACCATGGAAAACCTGGAAGCACTGAACGGCCGCTTCGTCCTAGTATGGGACTCCTCAGCAGTGCGCATCCACGACCCCGCACCACGCGGGGCTCGAATCCAGGACCTACTGGCTTCGCGCGCGAGCACTTAACCATTAGACTACTGAGCCGGCATCCAACGGTGTTAATGTTTAACTTCAATCAATCCACGAAGTTGCGCCACCGAGCACTTAATCTTCCATGTACTGATAGTTTTATCCAGCCTATAATATCCTGCATTTTTTTGTATATTCTTAAATATCTTAGACTTTAGCAAAATCACTTCATCCGAACTGTATTATTGTTATTATTATTATTATTATTATTATTATTATTATTATTATTATTATTATTATTATTATCAAAACTACCCAATACTGTTTCTGTGCATTATTTATATCCTGTTTTATTTCTGACATTTTTTTCTTATAGGTTTGATCTTATTCAAGTGAAGTAGTAGTTTTAAACATAAATCCAAACATTAGTTCAACCCAAAAATTATGCTCACTCTTCCATCACATGAATTATCTACTTCAAGTAAAACGTCTTCAGGATATTTAACTGACTATAAAAGACCAATCAATAAATCTGATTGTTGTTCCCCTTCCACTTCATCTTCTGCAACACCATCTTCATCTTTGTCAACATCGCCTCCTATATCCCATTCTGTATTTAATAAGATGACATCAAATTCGTTACTCCAATTACAAAATTATTCAGACCAATATATTCAACAAAACAATGAAAGGACTATTTGTGAGAATGAAAATTCTTACAATATTCAAAGTAAAATGGCAATACCACATTTTAAATCGGATTTAAGGAGTTTAGCTCATTTCAATGACAGTAAAACCATGAATTCTAATGGTTATCCTGTTGATAACTATGAAAATCAAAGATATCACCTTCATTCTAATGAGTTGCTAAACACTGAAAACGAGCCAGTTCGTTACAATCCCGTATCAAATTGTTTCACTGACACCTATCAGTGTCCCTGTCCACCATATTCACTATATAATACGTATGGAAATAATTCTACTGGAAAATCAGATCATTACGTCAGGCCGGAAATAGAATTAAGTAATATAAAAAATTTCTCAGTAGTTGATTCTAGAAGTCATCTATCCAAATGTAATCATGAACAAAATGGAACAGTACACAACAGTTCATCTTCATCGAACTCCGAAGTTTTTGCAACAACATTTCACTCACCATTAATCGGTGTTGGTAAAGAATATGATGATAATGATAATGCCAATGAAGATATTGATAATTCTTTACATAATTCTGCTGAATCCAATTATTCTTTGGAAGAAAATGAAATGAATAAAATGTATTTGACTGAAAATATGACTTTAAGCAGAACAGTCAATATGAATTCATCTTTACACCAACATGGATATAGAAAAGCTATAGTGGAGTATGAAGGAATAAATGCAAAAGGTAAACTTTTCAGCCACTTCATTCACTTCAATGTTTAAGATTAAAATTCATTTGTTGGATTATATGTTTTTCGATTTTTTAATATGATTCAATGAACTATCATTAAGGATAGTCACTGTTAATGATAGTGACATGTTTGTCAAATAATTAATCATAGATAACTTGCACTTTTGGTTAAAAGTATCTACAGAAGCACCAGACTGACATACAAGAAGGGAGAGAACTGGTGTTTATCACGTACGACAGGTAATTTCAATCAAAGATATGATAGGGATATGTAATGAAAAATAAGGAACTAAAGTAATTTTGTAGTTCACAATATTAAATGCTTGTCACTATAATCAAAGATGGTTGTTAGCTTAAATGTCAATTTATATCCTTCGAACTCCCAATATAAATTAGGTTTTATAAGAATGCTTTCAAAATGATGTCATTCATGAGAACTGCTTTTGGGAGCTTCCCTTTGTACGATTTTTAGCTTTTCTATTTTATAACACAACACGCTTTATGTTCCATGTTATGCTAATGAAGATAACTCAAAAATCACATCGATATGACTATATACGAAATTGTTCATCACTAATATTCCCTAAAACAACTTCATTTTAGTACACTGTATTTCCTTTATTTGACTGTTTATTTGAAAACCCATTTGTTTTTCGAAATGAAAAATGGATTTTTGTATTTATCCTGAGGTCGAATATTTCAGTCAATAAGAACGTAGAACTTCGTACGTACGTACATCAGTTCGAGTTGTCATACCACATTAGCACAGAGATGCAGTTGTCGATTTAAATCCCGTAGTAGTAGACGTAGTAAAAGAATAAGCAGTAATCGGAAAGATTAGGGTTTGGAGATCTTATTTGAAGAGTATAATCCAGTGAAATAAATTTGGGAAGAGAAAAAAAGCGACGAGGAGGAATCAGGAGATTAGAATTTAGGAAAACACAGAGTGTTCAGGGTCTCTAACCATCGGTTGCTATCATCTCGCAGTCCCCAACCAGGTAATCTACACCTACCAACATGTCTCAGTTCACTTGTCAGTGACTTCATGGACTTGTGCGATGTTTTGGTTTGGCCACCTCTAGCTTTCTTCCAACCTACTCCTATACCAATGAACATCGCACGTCGAGGTATTCGGTGGTTGGGTATGTAACACGTGTCCCAGCCATCTCAACTGATGAAGTTTCAGTACTTCATCAATTGATTTGCCATCCTTACCTAGTACCGTTTTCCTAACAACCGTGTTACTTACTCGATGGTCGCAGGATATACAAGCAATATTTCGAAGACACCTATGATCGAATACTAGTAACCTACGGATATCCTCTACTCTTACCGGTCGAATATTTATCATAGTGTTTACATAACTTAAAGAATATTAGTGTGTACATAGCTGAATTGGCATTCAGAAAGTTTACTTTCTATAAATAAAGTGTAAAATTACTGATAGATATACTGACTAAAGTTAAATAAGCCAGAATTAATTATACCTATCAAATATCTGAATAAAATTAAGACAGATAAATGGTAGGTTCCACTTGTTCAAATAAAATACCCAGAATAAATTATTATGTAATATCTAAATACACAAATGAATTACGTGTAAAAAAAATGAACACAATAAGAATAGATCAAGATTATCAATTAACTTATATCTAAATGTAAACAACTCACTAAAGTTTTTTTTGTTTGTTTGTTTGTTTGTTTGTTTGTTTGATGACGTAACAATCGATTCAACTTATCAGTTAATTGTTCTTCTTTTTTGTTGTTGTTAAATTGATCTATCAAGATTAATCGTAATAACAGGCTTCTATCTTTATTCAATTTAAACATCAATTCTAAATATATTTTTTTTCATATCACTATCTTAAAAAAGAAAGTTTTGACAGAAATTGATTATCATAATGATGACTGATAAGAATTAGATAAGTATTTCTACTCTTATATAAATGTTAAAAAGGGTCACAATAGTTAGTTTACTATTTATTAGGAAAAAATTAATGTTGACTTTCAGTTAAAGTTCTTAATGAGTCATTGATATATATATGTATAACTGAAACGTGTTTGTTTAAGGTTAGTCTGGTAAGTCAAAAAGAATTATCAGAATGGGTTTTGTGGAGATTTTAGAAATTTTAACAAATTGAAATCATAAGTCAATTGAAGGTAGACCACCATTGAAAACCTGGAAGCACTGGACGGCCGTTTCGTCCTAGTATGGGACTCCTCAGCAGTGCACATCCACGATTTATGATAGTCGTAAATAAATGACCAATATGAAAAGGATAGTTTTGTATATCTAAGATCTATTATTCATTTGGTTCCAATTTCTGAAAGTTCCATGTTGAACATAGTTCATGTCTTCAATTTATGTTCCTTTAAGAATACCCGAAATATTTTCTAAGATACATTTATCTCTTAAATATTATTTTTATAGAGGAACACTTGTGATACTTTTAAGTATTTCATATTAATCACTATCCGTTGTGTTTATTATCATTTATCAATTATAATAATTTATTCTCAAAATAACAGTTTGTTACATGAGGCATGCCAGTTTACAGGCAAGATCAAATCGTTACAAATGATACAATATCCAATGTAGTAAATTACTCAGTAGGGTTGATAATTTATAAGATATGAAATGTAAATGGTTTTAGTCAGTATAACAGTTGATGCGCTTCATGAAAGTGGCGTTGCAATGTGCAACTGATGGTCAAACATAGATCCATTGAAGGTGGGAGCTTCTAGAAATTGCAACCTTATATTGCTTTGGAATATCTGAAGCTTTAAAGATGTTGCAGGATGAAGTCACCCGTACCATATCTCAAGAGGGCTGAAAAAAGGAGCAAGTAAAAGAAAGAGAATATTTAATAGACTACATAAAAAGTATCAGTACTTCACAGAATAGGATACTAAGTTAATACACTGTACATGCAATACATTGAATAGATGAAATAATAAAATAAGTGTAAAACTACACAATTATTTCATGATGTTCTTTGTAGACTTCTGTTATTGAATAACTTCCATTTCTATACTAACAATGAATTTTTCATTACATTAATCTATATTCCTTCTTAAATATTTCATTAAATTAAAATGACTTTAAAATATGTCCAGTATACAAAGAAGTTTACTTTAGGAATTCAGACGTTGACCATAGAAATCATACCATATTTCTTGAAAATAATATAAAGTTCACAGATACTTTAATCACGAATATGTATATTATGTATATTTACACTATATTAATTTGTAAACGTCATTTGACTAATTTTCTCTTCCTTTTTTTTTTCTTTTACTGGTTCGATTTTTAATACGGTCAACATTAGCCTGATAAGTTCTTTCGTTGTTGTTCTGTTTTTATTATTTACGTATATGTGAAACTGAAATTGTTTCAGGGTCATATGTGAGAAAATGTGATCCAGTTCATCTAGACTTTTGTAATTTAGATCAAGAACATTATTTTCTTTATGCGTAATTATCATACATGAAATAGAATTAATAATAATAATAATAATAATAATAATAATAATAATAATAATAATAATAATAATAATAATAATAATAATAATAAACTGTTCGTCATAGAAATCGAAAAATGATTTATTCACTTTTGTTGACCGTATCATAGAAAATATTTTAACTTATAGTTAAATAAGCTAGTTATGTGTCTATTATTAGATATATAATAAAATTTATTAGTTTTAGGTTTATTTGAAAATAATTATTTAACTATACTACTAATACTACTCAAGAGAAAGAGTAACAGACTTCTATTTGAAGTTTGTGCTGATGATGTCGTTCAGAAGAACGATGAAAGCTCCACGACCAAACCATCCAGTTCAGAGAACAAAACTCCACCAAAATCATCCAACTGAGCTACAAATCTTCTCCACCATCTCAGTAACAGCATTCTTTGTAATCAAGATCAAATGATTATGATTAAATCATATAACCATTTGATCATTCTTAAAATCATAAACACAATAGAGAATAATTGCTCAGTCTATGAATCATAACCACTCATGAAGATAAAAAAAGAGATATGGATAGGAATCGGTGGAAGAGTAGAATATAGAATATAAGGTCTTACAAGAAACACAAAACAGGTATATAATAATTTAAGCTTTATTAGTAAGTGAATAGAATTTATTCAACAGTGAATGAATATAGATATAAGTAGTATATTGAGTACATACCGGGAGGGCTTAAGTTTATATTTATCACAGATTGAAATCATGAGTTAGTTGAAGCTAGACCACCATTGAAAACCTGGAAGCACTGGACGGCCGTTTCGTCCTAGTATGATAATCTTTAGAAATAAATATATCTTATATTTTAATTATTCTTCCGATAACAATTTGCCATAAATATACCAATAATATGGGATATTTGCAAATTGATAATCCAGTTAGATGTATACGATATTCTCCAATCAACTTATTTAACATCACCTACTGGGCCAAATAGAACTATGATCATTTTTGAACGCCTTCATGGGATTTGGGGGTGTATATTGACAAAAATAACCCTAAAGTATCTAATGATCATAGTTCTCTTCACAATGTGACGTTCCAGTACTTGGCTGTATTTTATTATGATAATATTATTAATGACCATTTGAGCGTTAATATTCACGAAAATTTTCAAATGACTTGCTACGAAGATTTATTTACAAATAGGAAATATTACACTGTTAATTATTTTATATTAAGTAAATTTAATGGGCAGTAAAAAATCAACGACGTGGTAATCAACAACAACTAATACTAATACTACTACCCTCGAAGTAACTGAGGTGTATAGAAATTAATAACCCAACTATAACCTTGGCACAATCACAACATAAACAAAGTCCCGTTGATGATTGAATGTAATTAGGCTGATTTTTTATTTGATGCTCCATTATTATTCATATCGTTTTGTGGTTAGGAATTTAGGATTGACCTACAAGAAGCATCATATGGTTTTTGGTACATGATTGTAGAAAAATAAATTGAGGACAAAGAATAAAGATTACTTTATTTGACAGATTTGTGGGATATGTGTGCTACTGAAATTTAATTTAGTGTCTCAAGGAGATCATGTTTGAAATAAGACCTTAAAGTTTTGAATTCAATCTTGTGTGAATCGATTCATTGGTATGTACATTTAGAATAAGCTGAATTAAGAGGAAAAACTGTTTATCTTTGGTTATTTCTCAACAATTTTCTAGCTAACGTTGGTCACTGATGACAATATAAACAGGCATCCGTCTTTAAATTAGAGGCTGACAGCGAACAAGGTATTAATCGTAATATAATGAATAATCTGAAACTGAATAATTGTTACTATCAATAGAATCCGAAACTTTTCTTTAGTGAAAATCACCCATATAACCTAACATTATTTCAGATCATATTGAGTTTCAATCTCTCAGACCAAATTATTTATTCAACATTCAAGCCTCAAACGGCTGCATAAAATATGTTATATCACTAATTGATAAATATCATTTCTCACAACAGTAATTCAAATAGTTAAAATTATCCATTTCTTTCTATTTGATTCAATAGATTCAAAGTTATCAATGAATCAAATTTTTTCTAAGACCAATCAAGAATGTGTAAAATGTGGTGAACAAATCTATTCAAATGGGCAACCAGACGGTACAGGTCATTACTTTTGTAGTCGATGTAATCAGCAAGAACAACAACAACCACTCAAGTATGAAGGACAAGAAACAACAAAAAATGCGGAAGAGTACGAAGATGGTGATGATGATAATGAAGATGACGATGATGATGAAGAAGATGAAGATGATGACGAAGAAGAGGATAGAGTTACAGATCCTGTTAAAATATTTCCAACGAATTGGCCATCTGTTTCAACGGCTATAAACTGTGCAGAAAATAATCAGTTATCTAAGGTATCCATGGAAGATGAAATAAAACCATATGCAACATCAAACAGAACCAGTTGCTGTGATATAAAAATCAATAATTCAATAAATTATGGAGTGAATAGTGATACTTATGGAAATAAATTAAATTCATATGAACCAGTTAGTGAATCTTCAAAGAATGTCATCAATGATCATTCATTTTTATCCAATACGCCTTTTTCTTACTCACCATTGTCATGTAGACGTGCATTCCGTAATGGTATTGAAAAAACTGTTACAAACAGGAAATCAGTAAGTTAATTTATTTCCATAGTAAATACTTTCATTGCATTATTTAACTTTATGGATTTTTAAAAATCCTTTGAAACCGGAAGATCTTAAGTTATGATTGTATCTGTTAGGCAGATTGAAGATTAGAAGTTACGGACAATAAAGAAGTTGTTAATTCAGACTGTTTTCTGTTTCAAATTAGAATTATGCATGAAGATTTTAAGAATGTTTTCTTCTTGTGAAAATAATATACTGTATACATCATTTTTATCCTAATCCCCAACAATATGATCCACTTTAACGAATGAAGTTAACCTTAGTTAATTACTATCGATGATTATTATGGAAATTTACATCATGCTTTAAATTTATCTAGAATAGATCAGTTGATTTTACTTGTTTCCATTAGGTTTTTATATTACAACTAAGATTCACTGTTATAGAGTTGTGACTATAATGTACTGAATATTTACCAGCCGTTATTAAACCCTAAAAGTTCCTATGTGTGATTTAATTTGTAAATTGACTTATCTAATATATATATATATACTCCATTTCTTTCGCCTTATAATTACGCCTTAGTTCGAAAGTTGATAAACCCATATCTGATAATCATTGATATATCAAATTAATTCTAACCAAGTTTACTTTGTGTACATATTCACTATATTAGTGTATACCGTACTGCGACGTAAAATGACTCAGATTTTGAGAACCGGTCATTCTGTCTTTTCATGATTATTCATTGGTGAATCGGATTGATGAATATGGATTTCTCAGTAGTTGCCACATTAATCTCATTAATTCAGTTGGTCGACAGAAACACAGCCCAATTCATATAAATTCACATCTATTATAATAGTGCTAATTTTTGACTGTACTGATTAAATGATTTCAGCACGAAATCAAATGAATAAACTTTTGATTAATTCAGTCTTCAAAATACCTTGATGCAACAAATGTTGATTGAACTCTGATATTCACTACGAAGAATATACTGTGGATAATTGACAATATCAAACTCAACTACGTCTAAAATCTTATCTTTAGGGTAGCTTTAATACTAAATCAACAAATGTTTTCTATCGAAAACAATATCAGCTGATACTGAAAAGAAGCCCCTAGATATATTGATACTACTTAAATAATTAATTAAAATTTCTAAGATCAGAATGTTTCTCTATCTCAATGTATGAATTTTTAACAATGTAAATGAAACGACTTAAGAGTATGGTGAAAACGTTGAAACTTTTGGCACATTAGGTTTGAAAATATAGAATGATTAATCGTAAGGTAAACAATTTACGTCAATATGATTAATGTATGTATAATTAGATAGTGTTATACAGATCTTATAATGGACAGAAAATCAGGGAAATTACGAATCGACAACTTTTAATCAGCAGATCGTTTTTCGACACAGTGAATTATGATAATTTATATATTTTAAAGAAAATAAGGCTATATTGAATTAGAAATCACTAATCTCCTAGTTACCGTTCTAACATTATGTGTGACGTATACCATGGAATTGACATCTGTTTTGTTAAAATCATTTTAATTCAACTTTGGAACAGAAAAACGGACTCACATTATGAAAAATAACTGGATTATTGTCCTTCATTTGACTGTCTAATAGTTACTAGTTATGTTTAATCTGTTAGAACAATATGAGAGCAACTTCGGGTTCAGTAGTCCGATTGAAATTTCAACTCAGATTTTGGTTAACCCTATTGTGTAAAGCATTAGATTTATGGTTCAGGCATTCAATTTTCTATAATTATGTCACTCTACCTACTTAGATTTGGACAAGTGAATAGTATTACTAGCCGTCATATTAAAGGTATACGACGAATCAGAGTAAATAAATTCTAGTTCAACTCCAGAGTTATACTTGTATGAGTTTGAGGACTAAATTATAATTATCATTGCCATTCTTACTATTAGTATTAATACTATTATTACTGACATTGTTTCCTAAGAATATTCAAATATTTATCAACTATGTATCTTCCTGTATTATAGATTAGAAATAAGCGAAATAGTTTTAAATGACTAAGAAGTGTTATAAAACTCTTTCATCTTATTTCAATACATTATAAAACCAATATTTATATCATATTCATCCAGAATTCATTTGAAGTATTTTTAACATTTCAATTGCTACGTAGCAGCAGACAATCTAGAAATATTCCATAATAAGATCTAACTTCTCCCTAGATATCAAGAACTTCAAATGTTTGTTTTGGCTACTGTCATGATGATGATGATGATGATGATGATGATGATGATGATGATGATGATGATGATGATGATGATGATGATGATGATGATGATGATGATGATGATGATGATGATGATGATGATGATGATGATGATGATGATGATGATGATGATGATGATGATGATGATGATGATGATGATGATGATGATGATGATGATGATGATGATGATGATGATGATGATGATGATGATGATGATGATGATGATGATGATGATGATGATGATGATGATGATGATGATGATGATGATGATGATGATGATGATGATGATGATGATGATGATGATGATGATGATGATGATGATGATGATGATGATGATGATGATGATGATGATGATGATGATGATGATGATGATGATGATGATGATGATGATGATGATGATGATGATGATGATGATGATGATGATGATGATGATGATGATGATGATGATGATGATGATGATGATGATGATGATGATGATGATGATGATGATGATGATGATGATGATGATGATGATGATGATGATGATGATGATGATGATGATTATGATTGTCATGAAGAATTAAATGGTAGAAATCATTCCTTTAGAAATTTCGACATAGATAAACGAAAAGTTATTAGACATATATAGTTTATTTAAATAATATATATATATATATTTATTGAAAGACAACGCACATTATCATCAAGTTAGTTAATGTTCTGTTTATTCAAGAAAACGAATAAAACCCAACATTTTTGTTTTGTTATTCATCATACTGTTGATGATGTTCTTCACACCCTTTTCTACCAAAAAAAAGAAAATTTTTTATTTAGTTTTAAATTTTTCACTAAAGTAAACAATTAGTTCAAATTTAGTGTACATTTTTATCCACTTTGTCTCTTTTTCATTGAATATAAGAAGAAGAAGAAGAAATAAAGCAAATTGATGAAGACATCATGGGAGGTGTGTGAGTGTGTGTACACATATCTGTTTGTGTGTATGTGTGTGTAAATAAATACCTGTATGGGAAAAAATGGTGCTTCTTAGTTTTAAATAGAAAAATACAAAAACACATTTAATAATTTGCTATATATACTTATATATTTACATGTATATCTAACTATAGACTATTAGACCTCAGTAGACATGTATGAATGCGAGTGTGTATAGTATTATTATTATTACATAGACCATAAGAATATTATAAACTATGTTATTGTCATTTCTCTCTCTATTTTACTGTATCGTTATAAATATCTTTAATAATAAAACAACAACAGAAAGTGTAGTTAATGGTATTTTTCAAATTTTTGTACATTTCCATATTTGTATATTTTAAATTCTTCCCATATATATTAAGAACTAAACAAGATAGTCATATTATTCTATATTCAACACTAAGTTATTTCCTTTCTACATTTGTATATGTATATATAGTTAAATCTAGTTGGAAAGTAGGTAATATATATATATATATATATAAATTTTATTATACTTTCCTCACTTTAGTACACAAATTAATTGAAAGGTTAAATATATACAAAATTACTAAATGCCCATACAATAGTTTGTATCTTTGGTGTTTCATAGTTTATGGTTAACTATGAAAATTTTTATTAATACAGTTGCTTTCTTCGTTTTCTTCTCTTTACTTGACTCATTGTCGCCTACCGCTGTCTGTAAAATTGAACAACAACAACAACAAAAAAAAGAAACAATATTGTTTTCCCAAATAAGTTTAGTTGGTTTATATTTTTCTTGTTTGTTAAATCTTTATTCATATGGATTTTTAAAGGAGATTTCCAAGTTTTATAGTTTATAAATGAAATTTCAGATCTGTAGGACATTTTTATGTGTAGTATATAGTTCTAATCAATCGGTTGCTCTTTTGTTTGTTTATATTTCATTTGTATGTATGTTTATCTTCTCTTTTTTTATTTTTTATAAATGTCCTTTAGACACTATTCATTAAACGGATTTTCATTTTTATAACTCTCTCTCTCTCTCTCTCACACACACACACTCTCCCTCTCTTTATCACTGTCTTTTAACTTAGTACAAAATAATCACGATTTATTAGAAAACGTAGGCGGATTGTGATATATGAAACGATGATTGTGTATGTGAAGGATAGTTTTCATGTTTCTTTTTTATTTTTAAATAAGCACATTGTGTACCCTCTTATTGAACAATGAACAGTAACTAGTAATCGCTACTGATAATTAAATTTATTTCATCAAATGTAAATTCTTAGTTTATAATGAATTGTTTTCATAAGTAAGTGTAAGAAGGTACTGATAATGATTCAACTTTTAAAGGATCTACTTTTCTCTTGTAAATATTTAAAAATGCTCTGTATATTGGGGTATGATACGTTTCATAATTAAACCTACTTACTTACTCCTGTTATCCCTTAAAGAGTAGCATAGGTCGCCAACCAGTAGTTTCCATCAAAGTATATATTGAATAATTCTTTCAAGTTGTATCTAGTTGCTATAATCAACTGGAAAGGATTGTCTGACCGTAGCTCTTCTAGGGTTACTAAGGTTCCCAGCCCGGGTAAAAAAGTAGAGTTGGGTTCATATACCTACTTGATAGTTTTACACTTATTGAGAACATTTATATTTCTGAAAATTAGTTAGATTCAAAATATTTACAAAGAGGATTTTACGGACTAGAACCAGTCTAGTTATAATATAATGAATATAACTGATCATGGAATAATCTCAACTAAAAACCTCAATTACCGCTTCAAAGATAACTGGAGCAAATCTAAAGTGTGAATGATTTACATTCTATGGAGATTTTTTATATATTGAAATAATTTAATGGGTTCATTATAACAATAAAACACATGAATAAGATACTACTCTTAAGATTATAGTGTTTGATCTTTATCAAAATATAATATGGTAAAATTATGTGTTAGCTTATGTTACCAGACCATTTATTCACAAAGAAATGAAATTAACAGACAAAATCCTAAAAGGTTTGAAATAATATCCGTGATGGCAAAGAAATTTAATTATAGGAGATTTCGGTACATTAATAGTAATGTAAGTTGGATTTATTCAACGCATTCTAAATATTCCATTACTGCTCTGAAATGACAGTTTTAAACAGTAAGAGTAACATTTATTGATATACTATAATGACATCCAAATAATACAGTTTGGAACAGATAATAAACAGCGTTCAATTAATTATCTTTGCAGGAAAATAGTAAATATGTATAATATTTTTGTCATAGGATTATCTTTTAATAATATGCTTTTATTAAGTACTTTTACTCATTACACTTACAGCAAACTAACAGAAGAATTGGATTGATTTGTTCGAATTGTGAAACTACCAAGACCACATTATGGAGGCGTAATCTTGATGGAGAACCTGTGTGTAACGCTTGTGGGCTATATCAGAAATTGCATGGTGTAAGTGTTCTATGAGAGAGATTATCTAAGTTTAATTTTTAAAATTTCTTTTATGAATTGGAAATGATCTACTATAAACATAACGAAGGAAAATTTATCCCGATAGGATATTTTACAAATTCATATTGCTTAGTTAATGAGTATTTATTTCAATCTTATGCTAACTTTTCTTTTCCGATGAGGAATTCAGTTAGAACAAGAGGATGAACTAAATCCGTATTATAATGAATACCCTCTTATCTGTTATCTTCTAAGATATAGGGAGTCAGCTACAAAATAAATTTTAGCCTCGGCCTTTGAGATCTGAATGTGTTTAAGATTTAGGAAGTATATTGCTAGGTAACCTCAAATTGGCGCGATATAGTTCACCATGGACAAAGCTAAATAGTTGTATTAATCTTCTTGAATGACCTATTTGCACTTCAGTTCCGAAACTAGTTGTGGTTGTAAGCCGTCACTCGTGAAGTGAACCAAGTATGAATTGAGACGATAATTTATTGATGATATTGAATAAGAATCGCTCTATACTCAAAACTGACTCGAGTCGAAAATGTGGACCATTCACTTGTGACTCGAAGACGCAAATATATTGCATTGTTCTGAAAATTTGTAGGTCCTAGATTCAGTTAAAGATAGAGCGTTATAAGCTTGTGAATTCTAGACAGATCGTACGCTATATCAAGGTCATAAGTTAATTGAAAGACACAAGTGTAGAATTTACTTTTCTAATTGCATCATTCGCTCAAGATAATAGTCCATATATCCCTATCCAGGTCAGTGAAGATACACGATAATAATCCCATGGGTTGCTATCCTGCTTTAGCGAGAAAATCGCACATACGTTCTGAGTCTTACTCTTACTTAGCAGGGTGAGTTGAAAATTATGGTGTCTTGCTAATCGCACTGAATCGGACTTGTAGATCCTGACAGTTAATATGTTTGGACTTTTTAAAAACTCGAACTGTAAAAAAGGGTTTTTCAGCTTCATGTTTTTCAATTGTCATCTGGCTGATACAACTATGAAAATTATCTTCCAATTTCGAAGCTTCACACTTTTAAATATCACTTACTAAGTAAACTTACTATAGATCACAATGTCTCAGAGGTCAATTAATTACAACTACCTAGTGTTTTTGATATACACATACACAGACAAATTATCTCATTTATATTTTGATAAAAAATGTGCCCAGTAGGGAAACAAACAGTCACTTGTTACGTATCACTTTGACAACTAATAAAGCGATGAATTAGAAAAATATAAAAACTGTCAATTTCATTATCTTTGTTGTTAATATGTGTAAACCGAATTACGTAATAATGTAGTGACAAACAAAAGGAATAAAAACAAATGAATAGTGGTTTGATTTAATTTATCATGACCTTTTACCTTCTTAATTTTGTAAACGGATAGACCTCAAAATAAATAAATGAAAGGTTTTGATAAAATTTTCAGTAAACATTTTTATGTGTATGTATTCTTTGTTCGCTTCTTTGTATGTTTGTGAAAGCCTCGCATTGTTGCTATGTTGTTATTGTTCAGATTTGATGTTAGCGCCCAACAATAAAACTAGTTGCTAGTATTCTTATGTAAGACAAAATATGCACTCAGTATCCCATTACTGATAACCATACGAAATATAATTTATTAGGTATCAATGCTAAAGTTGAACTTGATAGTTTCAAATAAATGGAACATTGGGTAGAAAGTTAATGATAAATGTATTTTTTATGACATCCATTTGAGTATAAAATTGTATATTCTGATGTTTCGTGACTTATTGCAAGCCACTTCTTCAGAGTAAATAAATAACCGATATTAAATTAACACAAGTTTAAATAGTACTATTTACTCATTGGGATATCACAAAAATATATTTGTCATAAAAATATTTGATAGATATTCAAGTATATTCGGGTTATAATCAAATGCTTGTTCCGATAAATTTTCTGAGCTAATACTTACCTTTTTTCATTCTACTGGATACTTCGATTTCAAGAATATTATAAATCCATTGTTAGTTTATAACAAAGTGATATCCGATGAAATTTGGATTTATACTTAGTTTCAATCATCTGGTTAGATATCATTATTGTGATTGTTGTTAGAAATGAAAACAGTTATCTACTTCACTATTTTTTAGAGAACGCGTCCAACATCAATGCGAAAAGATGCGATCCAGACAAGGAAAAGAAAGTCAAAGAAAAGAAAAGATTATAGCTTGACAGTTGCTGTTGCAGCAGCTGCGGCAGCTGCTGCAGCATCAGTAGTATCTGTAACTGCATCATCAATCTCTTCAACACCTGTAGTGCCCACATTAACAAACCCTTTTTATTGGAGACCTTGTTCAACAACTGATTTATGTCAGTCAAATAAAATGTCGGTTTTTAATCCAGGTCTACTCCATTCAAACTCAACTAATTCACACTTATTACCAATGCCTGGATCATTTTCACGATTTCTTCCAGAACAATTGCCGATGTTGCGAAATAAAAATTTCGAAGATTCAGGTAAACCATTAAAGTTATATGATGACTGACAAATATAGTTTTATTCTGTTAATCAAACATGATTTTTGTAAATGGATCAATTGGTTTAAATTATTTTGATGGTCAAATTTGTAGTTTTCTACGATTTGTTTTCCTTTCAAATGACACATTATTTTAACTTAGTGTTTTCATGTATTGATGGATAAAGTGAATTATTCACACAATGATTAGATAAACTTTATTCAAAGAGATAATAATATTAGGAACAAATTATTTTGGTGGAGCTTCGTTCTCTGAGCTGCACAGTTTTATCATGCAGTTTTCACTGCTCTTCTGAACAATCTGAAGTTTGTGTTGATGATATTATTCAGAAGAACAATAGAAGCTCCACGACAAAACATCCAGCTCCGAAAACGAAATTCCATCAAAATCATTCACTTGAGCTACAAATCTTCGCCGCCATCTGAATAACAAAATTAGTTTGTCTCATATGAAGTGAATGTAGGATACCACTGACTTTATAGGACGCCTCACTGAAGACTTCCGCTCAAATTGACACTTAAGATTTTTTATAGTCTGCCTCAAATAATCAAATACAAGAGACAGTAGATAAAAATCTCAAGTTGTCTAACATAATAAACACGTCACGTGCAAATAATAGTATAATCCACTTAGTTAATAAATTCCTTAAATATGCATAAGTTTCCTCAAATAAAGAAGTCAGTTTCATCATCATGATGATCCGGACACTTAAAAACAAGAAGATAAACTTGATTAAAATTCACAGCATTTATTTACATACATCAAAGTTTGGCTGTCGAATCAACTTTATCGGTACTTTAGGGACTTATTATTAATCCCATTTCTGTAGATTAAAGCTCCCTATCTGATAGATTTTTTCATCCTACTCAAATTTTATCTGATATTTGAGTCTATATCATTCAATGATATAATGGGTTCTATTAATGACCGGGTTCATATCATAATGACCGGCTTAACGACGTTATAAACAAAGTAAATCTAAGAATCATTTAAGTAACAAAGAAAACTATTCCATAGAAAAGATTTGAACAGTTCCACATATGAAGGATTTGTAAATATTACTTCTATATAGTATTATGATTTTATGACTTTTGTCCATATTATTTATTATTGAATCAATTATCATTCATATAGCCGGATTGAAAAATATCGTAATTTTCTTCAAATTAAAAGTTCTAACTAAGTAGTCAAGGAAGATTCACATTGAAATTTCGTGTTACTTACGAGCAATGAGAATGCAGTACTATCTTCACTAATAATGATTAAAGATTTATATGACTGGTCATTTTTAACGGTACAAGTTCATAATTATTTATTATCTACAAGTTGTTTTTATATTCACCATCATTTGAGATCTCTCTATTGTAGCATAACATAATTGTTTTCGAGTTATAGTTTGAAAATCTATCGCATAGTTTATAGATACAACTATACTTATATTCTGATGTATCCAAGATTTTTTAAAGTTTTGTGTTGTCATGTATTTTGTTATTGCATACAGTATATAGTATATTACAAATGTATTAATTTACTTTCATATAGCATGTTCTCCTACGTCTGATAACTATGATAAATCATTCAATCAATATGAAATAACAAATAACAACAAAAGTGTGGTTGAAAAAACATCAGCCTACACTACAAGTTTTTTAAATTCAGAGTCAAACAATTATGCTGATCATCAGAAGCCAATGTTAAATTACCAAAATTATCAAGCTGAATTAACTTACCAGTTACAAAAGCATTTCTCATTACAATCTAATCAACTAAACCTTCATTCAGGTACATACTTGAATAATGATAATTTATGTTTACCTTCATCAGTGAACTATCAACAAATTCATCGACAAGAACTTCATCCATCATTCCCATCCTTTTCACCATCATCAATATCGTCAAATCATCGACAATGTGATTATCCTACTTATCAAGAAAATGAACGATATAGTCATCATCCTCATTATAATGGACCATTGATGAGCATACAGAATAGTTTATTATTAAATTCTTTGGATTTAAATGAAAAAAATTCTCATGTAGTAAATGAACACCATGTCAATCCACTGACAACTTTAAATAATGACAAAAGCAATAAACTAAGTGCATACAGTATATTGTCACCTTATAGACAACGACACTCGTATCATTCAGAACAGCTTCAACAACAACCAAATATCTTCATTCGGTCGTCAGAAAGAAACCATAAACCACTATCATACTTTCCGATACAATACACGGATGATAAAATGCTTTGGAATATAACATCGTCATCATCCAACGATGATAATCGAGAAAGTTTAAATCCCACCAAAAATATGCACCTATTGAAACAACAGCAACAAGAGGAAACTTATGAGTCAAACCGATCATTAGATAATTATTTGGATCAAATGTAATGTAATTATATATTATGTATAAATCTAGAATGCACAGCGATAGATACAACTTTGAAGATTCTTAACATTATTGTTGCTATTGTAATATTAGTTAGAAGATGGATAAACCGAGTTATTGGACCATGCAAACAATGTATCATAACATATCAACCTTCAGTGTGACTATACATCAATTACTTAGTAAAGTATTTTCTTTTATACCTTATCAAGAAGGCTGAATTCGAGAAGAAAACAGAGAAAAAAATTGGAGACAGTAGTAAAACAATAGTCAGAGGATAACAAGTGTTTTTAATAACTGTACATAGATATACATTCTGTTATCTTCCGCACATATCTTTCAATATATATAGAAAACTTTTTCATTTATACAGACGATTTCTTTCTTCCATTTGACAGAGTACTTGCTTTCGTGTTTGCGATTGTTTAATAAAAATCATTCTTTTTCTTATGATTAACGGTAATATTAATCATAAATATGTCAGATAATTGATTTACCTTCATTGTTGAAACCCTCTGAAAACAAGAAGCCGCAATAAATAAAATAAATGAATGAAAAATGAGTGAGACTTATTCTTTTAACGGGTAGTAGCATATCAAGAGTAAGCGTTCGTGAGGCTTGTTTTGGTGTCTGCACATTTTAATGGATCTACTGACTAATTAAAATTATTTAATGATTTTACTTTAAATCTATTCGAATTAGGTAATTAACTCATCTGCTGAAGCAACAGCATCGAAACATAAAAAGAAATAATTATGTCATTCAGTGTGATTCTTCATGTCAGGTTTAAGAAACAATCAAACTTCACTAGAACAATGATCAAAATTTCTTGTAGTTTATTTAAAAACTAGTCAATTACTTATGCTTGTTTATCAATATTCAGTCTAACAGTATGGTTAGCAAAAGGCTCAAGTGAGTTTTTTTTCCAATCTCTATTTTTACAATTTGTTGACTAGATGGTGTTCGCGTGCTTACAATCAATAATGTCTCAACCAACAGATTAAAATTCAACTATGATGAGTCGATGACAAATATATGATCTACTAGGCAAGCGATAATCAAAACCGTTCTCAAATTTATCAGTTTGCAAATGCATATAAATTATAACTGACAAAGGCAATGGATAATACCCGCTCAATTTCGTACGGTAAATAAATTTACAAACCCGAAACATTGAATATCAAGCTAGTGATCTAAAGCTTAGACTTAAGCCGAAAAACATTAGCGGGCACTGTCAAAAATCCCTAAACAAAGATCAGAAAACTCTCTTTTTTGCATTATACTACTTACTAATGTTCAGTAACGCATATTGTTGTCAATCACTTTTAGATATATGGCGTCGCTTCATTGCGACGTAAGCTATTCTAATTATGTACATGTACTTACCACATTTAGCAACTTAAGGAAGAAAATGAATTTCCCTAACATTCTCCATAGTTTTTCTTCACGCCACGCGTGTTCGTTGAATAGCCCTTTATTTGCAGAAACTTTTATGGTTGGTATACATAGTTCCATTTTCAGTTTATTATCTGTAGTTGTTTCTGACAAAACTCATCCATAATTATGGCAGGAAACACTTACCTTTTAAGCTTACCTTGTCAAAATCGTGTAGGTCAATCAAAAGAGCCTCCAGTTTAACATATATTTCTTATAAATCCTAACATTACCTTACCAGGTTCATCGAGCCAAGTGTACTTCGATTTTGACAACCCTTTGCTAGTAAGGGTGGTCAGTAACAGCTTGGATTTCTCCGTAAGAAATACTCAGAAAATAAAGCGAAGCGACAAGCTCAGACATAGACCCTGTAGTTTTACTGGTTGGATTTCTCTGTCGAGAGATGCTAGACAATCTCACAAGTAGTAGGCTATCTCATTAATTTTCTTGGTCTGGTGACAACTCCTGTCACTATAATTCCAGTAAGTAATATAACCGTATATGGCACTATAGACAGAAGACCTACAAGCAACTTTCGTTACCCAAATAATGACTTAAGTGGTAACAGATATGTAGAATCCACTTCTGACAAAAAACAGTATTATTCATCATAGTTTAGCAGCAGTTCTAAAAGAATTCTATCTTAAGTATTTTCACAAAACCTTGTGGTGTTTGAATGAACTAATGATTCCTTTGTACTTGTTGAATGCTTGATTTCGAATTCCAAATACAGTACATTCGTTTGTGCTTATCTAGTACTTCTTGATTCGATTACGTATTTTCTGGGATTCTTAGTTCATACTATAATTCAAATACTCCTAATCATCATAAACTTCCATTCTTAAAGCGAATGTATAATCACAATATTGTTCGCTAGATTATGCTTTACCATGATTCCATTGACTAGCTTACTTCTATTTTTTCACCCATCCAGGTTCCAAATGAATGAAAAATAAGAGATTTTTACATCACTACTGCCAAGCTTGAATTTCCGAGTTTTTGGTATCTGAGACTAAAATCAGAGCATTCTTTTTGGTATGTAAACATCCTGTTATGTTTGCTACAATGGAGAACAGGGTCGGTGTTTGAAACCAAAAAGTTCCGAGTTCAAGGACTAGATGTGGATAACGACATTAGGGTGAAAGTGTGTTCAGCTGACGAATCCAAATTAGGACTAAATAGGAAACATAAAATGACAGGACCATAATTTATAGGCGGATCGATCAGATTTAAGATTGCACATCTTGGATTTCGGTGCGAAATTAGTTCAGTCATTTGGACAAACACATTTTGGCATTATAGTTGATGTCATTTAGTGATGAAAGACTTTTTCACATTATTCTTTTGTTCCTCACTTTGTCTTGTTTTCATCATCGTTGGGTATATCTTTGAGTATTGTTTGTATCCGTAGGTGCTAAGGTATTTTGTAACTAATAAAGTCAGTTTTTAAATGTTGTTAAGTGCAGTTATACACAAATTTCTGTTTTGTTTATGTTTAGTGTCTATCACTTATCATGCTTTAAAAGAAACATTATCAGTTTTCGCTGTGAGATCACAACGAATTTATGACGCAAGTAAAACATCGTTATGGCAGACGTGCATACCTTTTTTCTATCGATGATGGAACGCAATATGAACTGCAATAAGTGGTATAACAATGTATGCAACGGACTCCCACCAACAGCTTTTAAAGTTGCCGAAAGCCATTATCACATTGGCTGTGCAAAGAATGTTGTTCTATAACGTCTATGCTGATTCTAGAGGCGATCGAGCTGCTGAACATAGCTAGAAAATTGCCTTCACACAGATAGACAATAGTAGATGAGGAGAATTCTGCTTTCGCAGAACGTTATCATGAGCTCAGTTCTGGATTTGAATGAGACCATCAAGGTGGACCCCATAAGGGAAAAAGGTAACAACCATACGGATGTAGGCATTGTCACAAGAAATAAGAAAAAGCGCTCCAAGAAGAAGAAACTACTTATAGACAGTACCAAAGTATGTGAATCTACTGTTTCAGTTCCGGATTCACATATCAACGCAAAACAATCTATGGGGGATCGAAGTCTGAGCGGTGTAAAGGATGTGATTAAGACAAAATAAGGTGAATGAGTGGCTCACAGTCACATATAAGAACAGATAAGTAAGAAAACAGAATGTGACCTCTGTGTTTGGCACTAAATTGGAACCAGATTGCAGGGAAGAGATGATTTCAGGAATTAAAATTCCATAAGCCATAAGTTAAGAGAATTTTCCGAAAAGGAACCAAGGGCTAGATTTGAGCACGACCTCTGTCACATTAAGTCTCTAATAAGCAAGCTACAACCAGAAAATGTTTTAGAAACTAACATCTGTAAGCTCTATAAAATAGGACAAAAGGTGGATTCTGAAAGTATCCAGAAAACCTACTCCTGAAGGTCACCTTTGCTGTGGTTGAAGAAAGAAACCTGATCCCGGGAAACTCACGCAAACTGACTGGATCCAGAATATAGGTCCGTGAGAATCTCAGTCTGGTTGATCGTATTAAGGGACGAACTGTGGAAGAAACCTCGTACTTAAGAGATATCAAATTGTAAACATCCGGAGCGAAACGATCCCCAGACCAGTCTGAGTGGTAATGAAAAGTTCTCTACAGAAATTCAGATGTGCAACACAAATGCTCGCAGCTTACTAAATAAAATGGCGGGGCTCAAGATAATGGTAGATATAGAAAAACTAGATGTTATTGTTGCTTCAGAAACATGGTTAATGTCAGAAGTGTTCGATAATGAAATTCAGCTGACTGGTCTTTTATCCAGTAGGGCTGATAGATTAAACCGTAGGGGAGGTGAAGTTATCCTGTGCACGAAAAGTACCCTAACTGTACGAGCAGTTGAGACAGTGACACATGATTCATGAACATGTGAACTGGTTCACTGCAGACTGAAATGTTGACGGCAAGATGTTGAATTAGTCGTAATATATCGCAGTCCAGAATGTGATAGATGACTTCCTCATAAGCAAACTTAAGTCTTGGCGTAATATGTATAAAAGCCTTATAGTAGGTGACTTTAATCCACCTTATATAAACTAAATAAGCTTAGAAGTAGTGTTATCGACAACGTCATTCGATTGCAAACTGTTAGAAACCTCAAATACATTAGCTTTATTCTAACACATTACAGATTCCACCGAATATGGTTTGCAAACTGCTCTTCTCTTTTGGATTTAGTCTTCACATATGGTGATGACGTAGGTCAAGTGACTTTCCTTACACCGCTAGGAAGAAGCGACCATGGAGTCATCTAGTTAAAGTTTGTGGCTGTCATCCCGTCAAACAGTTGCGCCGGCCCGTTCTAACATATGGAGAGCAGACATGGAGGCGACAAACTCTGCAGCATCGGCTGAAAACTGGATAATTGACTCAGGGGCATCAGTAGAATAGACATGGACTCATTAAGGCAATTATACAATCGGGTAACTCATCCATTTATACCCTGGACAGTCCCAAAAAAGAAGAAGCATGACTATCCCTGGACAGGCCGGGAGACTCGAAGTTTACCAAGACAGAAGCAGAAATGTTGGCATTTTGCCATCAGCCTCGGCACAGTAAGTACGATAGAACGCCACAAGTTGGTAAGAACAAGTGCATAATTAAAACCCGGGAAGCTCAGAGAAAATATGAAATGTACTTAGTACAATCTGCACTCAAGCAGCCTAAGAGGATATTCTCGTATGTAAATTACAGAACACAGATGCAGCATTGAATTTTCAAACTAATTAACGAATATAGTGGATCTGAAATAATAGGGGAAGATCAGGAAAAAACCGAGGCCATGACAAACAACATTTTGGCAGTTTTCACTCAAGAGCCTCTTTTATATGAAGAAATAGACCCAAATACAAATTCGGAGAACCATCTGCCCATCGTGGATTTTGACTGAGACGATGTACTTAAGGCTCTTAGCACCCTAGACACGAGAAAGTCAATAGGCTCGGGTGAACTACACCCCAACATCCTGAGACATATTACACAATATATCGCAACCACACTGACTGTGATATTAAATATGTCGCCTGAACAAGATGTGTTATCTACGGACTGGAAGGATGCAATGGTCACTCTAATACATAAAACAGGACCAAGAAAACGTCCATCGAACTACAAACCTGTCAGCAAGCTCACCAGTGTCGTAGTTAAAATACTGGAAAAATGGTCACCATGACCATAATGATATTTCTGGAAACCAACAACTTATTAATTAGCAGACAGCATCGTTTCAGGAAGGGTTTATCTTGCACAACAAACCTCCTTATAACAAGAGAGCATTGGATAAAGGCGCTAGACAACGGAAGCTCAGTGGCTGTTGTACATAGACTTCAGCAAAGCATTTGACAAGGTACCGACAAATAGACTTCTATTGAAATTAGAAAATCTCGGCATTACCGGACCTCTCTTAAAATGGCTTAAGGATTTCCCAGTTAGTCGTAGACAGGAAGTAAGAATAAATTCGAAATGCTCCACCTAGAGACCAGTACCACAAGGTTCTGTCATAGGTCCTTTTTTACTGTATTTAAATGATCTCCCAAGTGTAGCTCAGTCTCAATGTTATTATACGCTGATGATGTAAAAGTCCGGTGAGGAATAACGGTAGACGCAGATGCATGTGCACTTCGGGCAGACTAAAATAATGTGGTAAACTTGTCTAAAGCGTAGCTGATGCCTAAAAAACGCGGCAAAGTGTGTCCACATACACTTTTCAGATACAAAAATTATTGAGAAGAGAAAGGTATTTAGAACCCTATGGGCTTTAAGACGGACATTCACTAGGTTAGATACTACCATGTTCACTGCAGTACACATCTGTTACTCGAAGCAGTGGTGTCCGCACCTTCAATAAACTCATTCAAAAGAAGACTGGACACTCTTAGAAGCATACTAGAAAAGAAATAACTTACGCCGCAGGTCTGTCCTTACTACACAAACCTGAATCTGAAGGAACGAAACGTGATCATGATATTTTACACATGTATACATGAAAAAGAATTTCATTTGTGAGTTTCAAATTAACCCTTTAGGGAGGTGTGCAAGTTGAAATTGCAAAATTTTATTGATATAAAAAGACTAGTAGTTTTATCCAAAAACTGTTCCAGCAACACTGCACCGCATCGCATGAAACATAGAAGTTGATGTAAAAATATTTTTTTAATCATCAGACACCTAAGTCTTCACCGGAATTTACATGTGAAGAATCGTTCGAAAACTTACTGTTTTCTTTTTGTTTTTCTAACTTTAGAGTTTGGCGAAAATCCAATTCGTTTTGTTTTGGCGGGTTGATCCCTTTCATTACTTTATTTGTTAAATGCCATCTATAGGTCTAGAGTTAATTTATCCACCTAATTGTAAGCCTATAAACGATGATTTGTCGAAAGAAGAATTAAGAAGACGCCTGACTGTATGCATTATATTCATTATTATTCTTCAGGAGCTATGTAACGCACTAGACAATGTTATCGAGGAAGAAGGAAAATCAACTGAAACTTCACTGGATGGAGAGAGATTATCGCTTTCTCAGGACCATACAAAATATAAGGGCCTATTTCTATTGCTTGGATCACCAGAGTTCCTGAAAAATGCAGATAGAGATATTCAATTACGAGTTGGTGTATGTATTTGCAAGTTACTTAAAATATTTTGCCCATCCAACCCTCTTTCTGGTTTATCGGAAGAAAAAGTCCTTACAAAAGTACTTTCCACTTCTTAAACTTAGTTTCTAGGAAATCCTGTGTTTCTTAATTGATTGTATTGGATTACTTTCAAACGTAAAGACGAAAACCGATGCTGTATATATTAAACTTCATACAATGATTTATGTACGTTGTAAAATCTCATAACGTCCCCACTTAGATCTGTGCCCAAATTGACGTCTTCATGTGGTGTTCGTTTTTGGAAGATGAATCTGTCCTATTTGGCTTTGTCAAAATGGTTTTTGCTATTGTTAAGTATGATTCATTTTACGAAATAATAGTGGTAGAAACCTTGATGTCTGGTCTTGGACTGATAATTCCATCGTTCGCCAGATGATTTTAGATATGACTGTTAAGGTTATCATCCAGTCTGAGAAATTCCTGTCTTCTGACCTAGTCACTTTTATACTTCAGTATCTAATAGAACCTGCAAAAAGTACTCAACCGGCTCAGCATACATTCGCTCGAGACTTAATAATAAGGACTGCTGACCAACTAGAATACCGAATTCAAATGGTAAGTTAATTATCTAGTATTTCCTAGTGACAAGTTATTACAAAACTCCCTAATTGTGGGTAAATGTAATGGAACCCAAATGAAAACTGAAGGTAAACCCATCCGTCCTCCTGAAGAGGTTTTGGAAGACAGCAGCGAGGGGATATCTGATGTGAATGAATCTAAAGATGATGAGGGAAATCCTGATCTACTTGGAGAGCACGCATTTCTCATCATATACGCTCTGCACACAATACAAAGCAGTATAGTAGCTCCAGTCCTTCCGACTATTGAGTTAAAGCTAAAGTCGCCTATTGTACGTGAGCGTAAACGATCTTTCAGATTATTAGCGCGCTTATTTTCTGAACCGGTATGTATTTACGTTTTTTATATTAAATATTTAAGAATTCTTTACTTCACAGGAGAAATCCAAGTCTTTGGGATGCATTCCTGGGGCGCTTCAATGACATTGATAGTGAAGTCCGCAAGTTATGTATTCACATGTTGCCTCAGCTTTTAAAACAAAACCAGGATTTGCTTCATGAACAGTTGCTGACAAATTTTCAACAGCGTATTTATGATCCCGATGAAGGTTAGTATTATCATGTTATGGCTGAATGTAATTAAGTTCTTATATAAGGTTTAAGGGAAGTAATCTTATCGTATTTCACCTGTTCGCTTCATTCCGAACGTTTAAGTGTCTTAAGTAAATGATTATTGCCTGAAATATTTGATTCTGCAAATGTTCATTTGATAAGAAACTGGCCAACTAACATGTCCTTGCTTCGACTACAAGGATATCTCAAGTAAGGCAGCGGATCTACGGAATCAGCTGTCGTTAAGTGTTGACATGTGAGTCTATTCATTGACTGCTTGATGCAAAATTCAGTAGCTAGCGAATAAATTTTAGGACTCGTAAACTTCTTTGTCCTTACAAATGTACTGCATCGAAAGCACGTGAAGTCAATTAGTCAGCTACAACGTAGGACCAGACACATATATGCATCGATCCAAGTCGCAACACTTCATTAGCACAAGATGAACACCAAATTCATAGAAGTAGTTACTTCAATGGTAGTAATATATATAAAAAGATTGCATATAAGGATATAATACAGGGAGAAGGAATTAGTTTGTAGAAAGAAAGGTATAAAGTAGTTTTAATCTCACGGTTTGAGAGCAAACAAAGGGTGTATATACCTACGCCATTGTGACCGATTCTGAGCCATGCCAGATAGTCTCCAACCATTGGTTACGGTAGTCACGAAATCATTTTCAAGTAGTGAGTTGTAATAATGTCATTCAGGATTTCTGTATATGTCATCAAGAATGTATTCAGTGTAGTTAGTTTTATATCACAAAAAACTTAGGATTCGTAGACACGGGCTTTTACGCTTCTTTTTATATTTCAACACATCATACTCCTTAAACTGACTACTCGAACCTAAGTCAGTCAAAGAAAGTTCACATCTGTAATCTAGTTTTTGAAGTTCACATGTATAATCGGGAGTCCGACACTCCATACACGTGGATTCATACTTCTTATTGTTACTTTTTTATAGTTAAGAATCTAGTATATTTCTAACCCTGCCAATTATTTGTTTTAATAGTAGCATGTTTTTTTTTTAATTCATAGAAGTTCGACTTTTAGCTTTAAAAACAATGACTGGTCTTATTAAACAATCTGAAAGTGAAGTTAGCGATGATGCATTCGAATTGTTAAAGGAGCGTTCTCGAGACAAGACCCTGTCTATTCGTAAAGAAGCTTCTTCCGCTTTAGCTTCGTTGTATAAAGGTGGTTTGCAGTCGGGTTGGTTATCTGCTACAAAGTCAGCTTCTGCTCTAAATACAATTTTGCACTTGTACTATCAAAACTCAACTGACGACAAGTTAGTTTCAAACATATGTTGAGTTCCTATAAGTTTTGAATATTTTTGTTCTTACTGCGGGACATCTTTCGGATGTAACCATAAACTGAGGCATTGTTTACTTATCGATTATCCAATGTGTTTTCGGGAAAATACAATCTTACGTTTCCCATAGTTCAAACTGATATTTTTAGTATGCTATTATTTATTGTGTCCTTATCGTATGATATTTATTTATATGCAGCGACTCGTTATCACATGTTGATTGACAGACTCAGGTTTAAGAGAAATCCTTGGGAGTTAGTGTAGTAATTCATTTCATCGGTGAGACCAATTTATGAACAACCTTTCAGTGACACCAATGTTACCTTAGGAAAATCCACCTACTTACTGCGGTCTAGTGTGAGTAATCAGAATTGGGACTCAAAGTTAAGAGTTAAGGTTTTCACCACGAATTGACATCAGCTATAGTGACAAAACGCTATTTAGCTATATGAAAGAATAAATTTCTCGCCAAAACTTGAGATTCGTTATCCTAAATCTGATTAGTCCCAACATAGATCATTGTCTTACTATTTTATTCGCAGTTATTAGTAGATTCCCTTATTACTTTGACCTCGGTGTTTATGATATTCCTGATTGAAGGGTACATCTTTCTGTCACACTTCATCTCATTGTTTCTCTGATCCCACACAAACTAATAATCCAGGTGTACAGGTTAGTGTAGCTTTGTTTGATTATACTAGTTCAGCTTCTTGTATACTAATTGAAATGCAAAGTATATGGCTCATATGGGTCTTTTTGATTCTAATATTGTAGTGCCCAGGTTCTAGTTTTCATTCCTATGTATAAACTAGGTATTTACTACTTCAATATATGTTAGATATAGTTCTGTTCTTTTTCTTTTGAAACTTTTGTTGTTCGAATATGCCAACCATATCTTTAGCTCATTTCTAAGGCCTGGATCCCAGTGATCATACAATGGCTTTGCGTATGCCCGTTGAATTTTATGATTTATACGAGCCATCCCAAAGAGTACTTTCCAATTCCACTCCACTATAGTTTTGTTTTAGTCGTATAATTTTTATGAGAATATTTAGTTTATTGATTGTAATGATTATTTAAATTTATCAGCTACCTGTCGATATCCCATAGACTACGATTAAGTTTTTGATGTATTTTGTTTCTTGCTGATCTTAGATGCTTTGTAGTCAGTAGATTAAGAACAACAAAATATCTCGCTGTGGATTTCATAAATAACTGTTGGTTATGTTGCAGTAACAGACAAATATTATAAAGTTCCTCAATGAAAATTATTTGACATTTTAGTAGTAGTAGTAGTATTGTCATTACAGGAATCTAGGAGGTTTGGCAATAAAAAGAACTGTTCGGCTTTTTAATAATCTTTTAGAAACTTCAGATCTGGTCATTCAGTTTTTTCTTCATAGTAACAAATTTGATTTTAAGATATCCTTTTTTCAATAATTGCTTTATAGGCTTATCGTTGAACGGTTATTAAAGAGTTCAATCATTCCGTACAATTTTGAAAATGCTGTCCGTGTGCAAGCCTTATTCCGCTGTTACAGTTTGATGGATGAAGCTTCAATCAAAGCTATGCAGGAAATTTTTAAGACCCAATATTTGTAAGTCTACCAGCGTGTTTTAGGAATCCTGTTGAGGTTTAGATTATTATGTTATTTATAAAATCCTGTATTACGGAATTTTTGGGTTTATGCCGATGATATTTTATGGTGCTCATAAATACATAGTATTTTATTTATGTTATGTGTCTCAGGGTGGTGGGTATTCCAGTACAAATAGTTTGTGGGCTTCACTTGTAACCAAATAAGCAACGAAGGAATAGGGCAATGGGAAATCTTCATTTCCCATAGTTTGAGCTACTCTAATAGAAAAATTCCAGGAATCACATGATCCACAGCGACCTTCAGACATCACAGCCGAAATCAAATGACGTAAAGAAAAGTGATAAATCCCTTATAAAATGACCTGTAAAAACTAGCCAACTCCCCAATATCCTGACATTTTGAAAGAAATATTCTATTAAGTTCTATTTTGCTTTACCGATTGTCATCACAGTCACTAATCTGACTCAGAACTCTCAGCTGACTTGGATGTATGCCTTCGTTTATGATTATTTTTGGGAATACATTTTAGTACTGGGAGAGTAAATCCGCTATATGATCAACTTCTAAATCATCTTGTTGTTTGTCAGTAGCGACCTGAGCATTTTAAAATATTTTTTTTACTAGTGCCCTCAAACTTCTTCGTGATGTTGTCAAGTTGTTAACTGACCACCGTGATGCGAAAATTCCTTCCGAAGTTAATACTGAAATAATGGGTGTCATACAGCATCTTAGCAGTAAGTATCCAGAAATGCTTTCTTATTTTGTACGATTTTCTTTCAAATATGGGTTTCGTTTTATAAATTCATTTGTTATTTTATTTACATAATTCATATTGAAGGCAACATTCTTATCGGAATCCTTATATAAGATTTCATTAATTTTGAATGTTTTGTACAATCATAACTGAAAATAAAAGTATACGACTATCTACATCTGTTTTCTTAGATCAATAGTTTAAATGAACTGAATTATCTTACATTGTCATTCCTCTATAAATTTACTACCGGATTTATGACACCACAAATAGTGTTCAAAGAAAAGTCTAGAATGACATTATTACTCGTAGAAATGCTTTTTTTTACTTTGAACGTACAAACGACATAGCAGTTACGTTCAGTATTATGATGGTTTCATAGACTATATTCCCTAAATTAGTATTTATAAGCGTGGTGTTTTACCCCATTCAAATGATAAATACTAAGAAAGTTAACATTCGTTTTTTCTTGAACTTATGTTTGATAATGAGTCTGAAAATAACCTAAAGGTCCATATGCTTGAATGAATATTAATGTATAAACGATAAAAATAGTACATGTATCACTCGCTTTCATGATTTTATATAAATTATGTTGCAATTTAATTTTATATGTTTAAACAAGTGTGATTATTTTACCTGCTAGTATTTAAGTTATCAGCAACCGCAAAATTGTTAAGTCATTCCAATTATTTACAATATTCTGTTCACAGTTTGAGTAACTTGCTCTATGAGTTTGCCGTTGATCCGTCTCAATTTTCATATATTAGATTATCACCATTGTCGAAACAATCTCTTATGTTTTTATTAGTTTAGCTACACTTATAGATTTCAGGTGCTTACTAATTCTCCAAATTTTACATTAAGCTACTGTCCATGATCATTATTATGGTCCGTGTTTCGGTTTATCTCATTTCATATTATATATAAAAGTTATCATTTATAGACTGTTTCTGTTAAAAAAATTTGATCCCTTGGATCCCTTCAATCATATAGGTAGATTACTAACTTTGTCTTCAACAGTCTACGGCAAATTCTTTATGATACCAGACAATCAAAGGTTAATTGCCATCTCTCATTAGTTGTCTAGTTAGTTCTATATTATCCCCACCTACTTCGATTTGAGTAGCCCTCTCTAAATGTATTCAGTCTAGAGCTTATTTCCTCGAATTTCACGACAAACCGTCCTAACTTTATGCTAATAATATTCAAGAGCAGACAACAATCATAGGATAAATGAAGGAAATGCCAAACGACTTACTGTTGTTACGATCCATTAAATGTCATACAATTGTATTTAGTTCAGTTGACTTAGAAATTCTTATCATATTGATTTTCTTGCCACTATTCTTTCTTCACTTTGGGCTTCATTCGTTGAAATTATTGGTTGTAACTTATAATATTGCGGGGTCAAAGAAGATTCTGTGGTCGATCTTCAAATATATTTTCAATCTTTTTTATTACCTAGGGTTTCTAAACATTTATTCCAGTTGAATAATCACGTACGTCAATGATGTTTTCAAAATATGTAGTTACCCGCAAATCTTGTTGTAAAGATTTCAAACGCCATATACTTTTATCATGTGTTTAATGTCAGTGTACTTTTTAATACTGTAGGTTCATAAAGCCAATATCAGTTTTTACTTTCTATCAATTTTTTAATCTCTATAATCCTTTTTTTTCTCCGTCAAAGTTTTAATACCGAAATCAGAAAAGTCAGTTGAACATCTGAAACGTTTCTTCAATCAAGTTCATACAGATAAAACACTATGGAATCATTTAGTTAAACTGACTAAGCCACAAACCGCTTGTGCTCAGGCAACAACAGCTTTAGTAAGTATTTATCGTTCTGATTATCAATATTTATGTTACACATATATTAAGTAAGTCAAACTGTTACCCGCATAGGGTTTCAATTTTCGACAAATCACTGTTTGTCTTATATTTCTGATCCTGTTTTTTTATTTTTAGAGAGACATATTAAAAAAAATAGGGACGACAGCAGAAAATCCCAATAGTGTCAATGATAACCAAACAAACTACGCACGTGTTGTAAAGATTTTACTGGAACGATGTGCACCTGTTCTCTTTGATCGTAATTTTGGCATGGAATTAGTCAATCAGCTATATATCATCAAGAAAACTGGTTGCTTATCTGGAACTGCTGGACGTATGAATGTGACACGTTCACTACGTTTATTACTTGCAGTGTCCGTTTATTTTAAAGTGAGTTGATTATTCACTTTTAGTAAAACTATACGTTGTCGACTTTCTGAATGCGTAGTTGGTTTCGATACTATTAGGAAAATAGTTTAACATCAATTAACAAAATAATAATCGAGTTATTGGGAAATTAGCGACTAGACATAATCTTTTATTCAATTTAACAGTGTATTCTCGAGAAACTTCTTCCCTCTCAATGTAATTGTTATAAAGTGGATTTTCCACACTAAGCATTATGGTTGGTTTATAAACTTATTGGCTTATCAAAATCATCCATGGTTGTTTTAATCGTACTGATTTTCATAAAGTTCCTACCCTTTGCATTAATTTTATCGATTTAGACCTACATAAAACAGCACTGCAGTGTTTTTTGTTGTACTTAGGGCTTGGTTGCTGAGTAACAGATTTGCCTCTAAAATAAACATTTTCATCTATCGCATATAATAAAAACAATGTTGAATTATAAGTGTAATACATTTCACTGATTAAATACATTTTTACGTTCTAGGGTTGGGACCCTCTTCCCGCGCAGACGTGGTTGTACCTTATCTACTTTATCTCTCAACTGATAAAGGAATAAAACTATTGGAGTCCGTTCTCAATTGATTCAGAGCTGAGTTGCTAGTCCACCAAGTTATAACCTCAGCGTTAAAATATTTTATTGATTTGAAATTAAATTACATGGTTCCGGCAATTTGCGTAGTATAATCCGTATTGTATAGTAATCTCTTTATAAGAAAAGATGGATTATTTTCTCTTGATTATTTGATAAGCTAAGTTAGATAGCTTCTTAATGAACTGTGCGATCCGTGGAAATAGTCATGCAAACCATATATCATTAGTATGGATCAATCATAAACTACCTTGTCTGATAGCAACCTAGTTGTCTCGACTTTTTTTTGTTAATTATCACCTTTTTCCCTATATAATTGTTTCATTATTATCACTACCATTCCTATCATTTTAATTCACAACTGTTTATTATATTTTTTTTGCATCGAAATCTAATTAACTTCAGGAGATACTACCTTTAAATAAGGTTATGGATTACCTACTCTGTATTTTATCTGATGAAAACTCGTCAGTGCTTAATGATGAAAATGTATCATCGTCAGCTAATTCAAATTCTTATAACGATTCGTATACATTACAAGAAATAGCTTTAAGTGTAAGTAAGAAGACATAAGATTTCGTAAACTTTTATTCTATTCAGTCCTCATTATCATCTAATATGCAGTTATGTTATTTTTTAATGATTATTTTGTCGGTATTGAATTCTCTATGTTTTTGGAAAGAAAAAACATAAGTTCATTATGTATTATTCAGTAAGTCTTGACATACATGATTTACAAGTACATTTTATTTGAAAATATCACTTCAGGCATATTATTACCCAATAATTGAAATTAAGGTTACATGTGAAAATTTAATTTAAAGTTATTACTGTTGTTAATTCAAACAGTGTTAACATACATTCTCATTATACAACTGAATAATATTTAAATAAATATTAAACATTGCAATAAGTGATTCTTAAAACATATCTGTTTCAGTGTAACTTGAAATTGTTAACCATCAAGAAATTATGATGTAGACTTTTTAAATTAATAATAATAGTTAAATGACTTTTTATGATATGAACCTGAAACCACTTACTAGTTATCATTCAATGAGTCCGTGCATAGGACTACACAAATAATTTAGAAATAAAACATAATATACTGTAAAGGGATTCCGAATGGCATTCATAAACGAAGCCGAATTTACATCCAGCCTAATTTTAAAGAGTGAAGCATGTAAGTTCTTTAGAGTTAGATAACTGTCATCTAATTTTTCACATAATCCATAACTCAGCATACATCCATTTCGTTTATTTAATAATGAATTCAATGTGTCTACAATTCTGTCAAACCGGAAGTTTGATACTTTAGACTTACAGTCATTAGAATTTTACTGTACACCTTTCCAGTTGTTTTTAAGTGACAATTGTAAATCTCCTAAAGTTTCACGAAAATTCTGACTATGTGATGGTTTTATCACACGTTTTAAGTTTTTTGATATGGTTACATTTTGTTACTTATTTAACAGTTCTCTGTCAGAAAGGAACATTAGAATTAAACGAAGCAGTGTACTCAAAGTTCTTTAAAAGTGAGGTTTAGATAGGACATAACAGTTGATCTGATCTGTTGTTACCATGGTCAAGTGGTGAAACTGGTAAGAATCAATGCGTTCAAAAATAAGGTAACATCCCAGAGGTTTTGGAAATCTATAATCTATAAAAAAATATCATTTGATGTAGTTTCATTGGCACTAAACCAATTCCTTTTTCTTAACTGCTGTATAGTGTTTTGCTAAAAGATACACGAACTGAAATAGGTACTCATTTTATAAGGGAAATGAATCTCAAACCATGCTCGTTTCACAATACTGAAGTTTGATACCAGGTTAATTTCTAATCAGTCAAAAGTATATTCTTATTTTAGTCCTCTTAATAATCCCATTCTACAATAATTCATTCTGATATCTGAGCAATTTTCTTATAAGAACTGTTACTAACGTGATACGAAACATTTGGTTTTCGTCTAACAATGCCGCGGTCAAATATCAACTGTTTAGTCAATAAGAAAGTATCATCTTTCTGTAACAATTTCATATTTCCATGCTTAATAATGTAATTTTTTTAATAAAAATGTTGTAGATCCTATGTTGTGTACTTGGTGGGGGTCCAAGTGGAGCATTTAGTAACAATGACCTAACTGAGCCTCTTCAAAATATTGCTGACAAACAAAATCTTAGTATTTATACTCAGTTAACTGAACGTTCAGAAGAATTATTACCAATTTTACGTCGTTTTTGCTGTACAGGAATTGTTCCCATTTCTATAGAATCATGTCAAAATAGAGAAACTGCAGAAAATTCTATAAAAAGTAAATCTAGTGAAATTTTATTTGCTGTTTAATCAATAAGAAAGACGTGTTATGCTTCCTGATTAGTTTTTTTTCTCTCAAAAAAGTCGACTTTATTTCAATTTATTAGCTCATGATTTTCTCCTTAGTTATTGAGGAAATAATTGTTATAGTGTTGATCAATGATTGAACTTAAATTTGATCGTTTTTTTTTCTTTTCTCGCATAATTCCAATATTTAGATAATCGAAAAACAACAAAACATGGAGTAAAAATTCCTTCACCAAAGTTAATAACAGATACTGTTTCAAATAGTGGTATTGTTTGGCGTCGTGAACGTCGTCGTTCCAAGTTATCAATACGTATTTTGTTTTGTCTATGCAATGTCATACGGCATTTATTAAATTCAAAGAGTAAATCTGAAACAAACAATGTAGATTTGGATGAAGAATCTATTATATCAATGAATGATGATTTAACTGATGAACTGAAAAGATTATCTACTTTAAAATCTAAAATTAATGAAATTCTCAATGATATTGTTCAGGTTAAGTAATTGCATTATTTATTGTTGAAATGATGAAAGAGTTTATTTCAGGTTTTTATTAGGAGCAAAATTTCCTTCTTGTCCTATTTTAATAATTTTGATTAATACTAACCTTTTAAAATTCAATACATTTTTACGTATGAAATTTCTCACCTCACTAATAATTAATGTTATGTTTGGAATAATTTTAGCTGTAGGATTGTCATATATGTTATAATAACTCTCTCATATAGTCAATTTCAATTATAGTTAGGCTTTGTTAAGTCATTTTATTAACTTACTTAACAGGCAATATTATTCGAACAGTAACAATTTGTCTATTTCTGTGTACTCTTGGTATCATGAAAGCCTATACACATATCTCGCTTTAGCTTAAATGTCGCTCGATAAGTCACTCTCTTTCCCATGTATATATTTACTCGAATCTTATTATTAGCCTTTGCATTTCCTATCTGCGCCTTGTATTCGATTTGACTATAAATTTGCCTCTGTATTCGCTCGCATATACACATTCACCTCTCTGCTTAAAATTCGCTCGATGTGCTTGTAGCTTTTTCATCCGCGCTATCCGCTAATAAACTGTAGTCGCCGCTTCTTATCGCCTTCTGACTTCAAATACTGTTAGGATTTATGTAATAACGGTTATCAAGGTGATTGATTAATGAAACTAAGCCACTACAACGTTTTGTATTCTCTCGTTAGTGTGTACACTCAACTATCGTAAACTTATTCTTCAAGATTTATCTTAAGCATGATTTTGCCTTCACTCTGAATCTTCATTACCTATCAGAAACAATAAATGAACTTTTAAATTTGATAAATCCACTTATTTTCTATTTTGAAGTCATTTTTAAGAGTTAATTATCAATCTTACTGCATGACATACAGAATGACATTAAAACGTGAAGAAAATTTCTGATTTAGAAAATTGAGAATTAATGAGAATTCAAGATCTCCTTTTTTCTAAAGATTCTAAACACATATTCAAGCATTCTGATAAATTATAGTATCATCAATCAGTCAGTAACAACGTAGAACTTCGTACGTACGTACATCAGTCCGAGTTGCCACACCACACCACACCGTACCATACTGTCACTAATTCTATAATAGTTTCTGTTATTACTGTTGATAACATTCTAGTTACATTACAATTTAAAATTTAGGCCTAGTTTAAATTATATTCTATTTTAAAGAAGCAGTTACAATGGTAACAGATCAGAAGTGATTACAAATCAACAATGATTTACATTGTTGTATACGAGGTTATAAATAAAACATATGTGATAATTAGTATTACTTACTGAGAAAAATTCCCTTTTAATTTGTCTTTCTCTATAGAAACTTGACGACTGACTAGTTCATTTTTCCCCTCAAGTTTCTGTATCAATCATTTGCTATTACTGTGAAGTGTATCTGTTGTTATCTCATAATTTGCATCATAATACGTCTTATGATTGGTCTTTTCCTTATTGTTAATGTTACCCTAAATGATCACTTATTGTGTTGTACTGTTTGTTAACCAAAACTAGCCATTTCTAACAAAAAAAAAAACTCGATTGCTAATTATTAATATTATTTTGCTTCTAAATTTTCTCCTATTAGGTTTGTATTTCATGCCCTATTTTATCTAACGATTACATATCCTGCCTCACTTCATTAAGCCATATTGCTTTATTATTTCCTGATGTATACAACGAAGATATTAAAAATTTCATTACAAAATCTTTGGTACAACAAGTATTAACATTTGAACCAGATGATCTGCCAAATCAAGAACAAGAAAAAGACAAAACGCCAATAAACAGTGTGACATCAAAGAATTTGTCTAATCAATCCAAAGCTGAATGCAATGCTCTTAGTTCTTGGTCACCTGATAGTTTAATCAGTAACTTAACTAGAGCAAAGGTAAACACTACTGAGTTCTTTCCAGTATTTCTCATATGAGCCATAACTTTCTTTAGTTACTATTAAACAAGCCAAGATCAATTAGCTTCTCATTTTCAAAATCAATCATAAGTATAATAATGTAGCCCACTTACAGGTTCACTCACTCAATTTCAAGCCTCATCTTTTTTACGAGGGTTTATACTATTCTATGATCAATCAAATAAAATTACATGCAGTGAGTTTCGAACCTGAAACTCTATTAACTAAGTGCTTAATCTTTAACCCCCTAGCCTAATGTAGCATTTCCGAATTCTGCGATCAAACAGGAATTTCCAATGTTCTCATATTGAACTAGGACAACTTTATAACTAAATTCATTTGTTCGAACAAATAATTGTGTGAATCACTCAGATTACAATTGAAGTCTATACAATCCATGTAATGAGTCATCATAAATATACATACATATATGTTTTATTTATAGTTTAACTAATTAAATGATGAACATGTCTGGCTTTATTTTCCCTCCTATCCTCAAGGTCATTAGATTTACAGTGAACTGACAATACAAAAAAATATATCATTTTCTTCTAGCTACAAAATATCTCTTCAATCTGCCATTTCTTATTATCTAAGGTTATTATACTTAAATAGACAATAGTTTTCCACATCTATGTATAACTGATTGAAATCCATTTTCAGTAACTTATAAATCACATTAACAATTATGTTTATACAAGTTTTAGTGACATTATATAGTGGAATAGATAATTCATTATATATTGGTTATCATTGATTGATTTCTCTGGACATATTTTTAAAGTATGATCTAATAATTACTTGTATTGTTCCTCCGGATTCTTTTTTTATTTTAATATTCTAGTTTTCTATGAGTTGTGATGGGAAAACTTAATGTTAGTGAAAAAATTCATATGATCTATTCTGTGTTATCTAGCAGGATAATTATTGACACGGAAACAATCATTTGTAAAATCGTAAATCTTTCCAATATTATTTTATTATCAGAAGGGGTTTGTAGAGATTTTAGAAATTCACTGCTGAGGAGTCTCATACTAGAATGAAACAGCCGTCCAGTGCTTCCAGGTTTTCAATAGTGGTCTAGTTTCAACTGACTCATCATTTCAATCTGTGAAAATTATTCTATTAAATATATCATCTAATGTGCATTACTCGATATTTTCTACTTAGAAAACCCTACTAGTTTGCATAATTTTAACATATTTCTGTTTATGTACTATTTACCTACTTTGATCACTTTAAACATCGATGACATTCTTAGGTCCGTTTGTAAAACTAAATGTATAATGTAGCAAAACTTATTATTCCTATATAGAATGAATCTTATCTGTTAAAGTTAAATGGTACCCAACTTAATATTATAATTAAAGTGCTTCAAAAATATTATTTTCACCTAAAATTCGATCATTAAACTAATAGTTGTCCATGTAGTGATAGTTGTTATGTTTTCTAATGAGAACTATGAATTCCAATTTATGTTAAAATATAATACTTTTTAATGTCACCCTCACTGTTGGATTAACATTTTACTTGTTTAAATAATATCATTATATGCTTATAATCAAGTTATTTTTTTAATTAGATTAAAACAATTTAATCCTATTCTATCTTCCAGATTTCAGCTATTAAACTAATAACAAATTGGTTAGTAGGTTTAAAAAATGAAGTAAAACCTGTTGTTCAAGTTATTATTCGACTTCTTTATCGTATAATCATTCATGATGGCGATTTAACAAAAGGTGGTAAATTATCGTAAGTTTTTTTTAAAAATTGAATAATTGTCTCAAGTATTAAAATATGAACTATCTACAAAATTTCATTAGGTCCTTTCGGCTCATTGGTCTAGAGTTTAATGGTTCGTTCGCGAGACGAAAAGTCCCAGTCCCATTTGTGGGATCATGATTGCTCACTTCTGAGGAGTCCCATACTAGGACGAATATACTGTCTAGTACTTCCAGGTTTTCAATATTAGTCTGACTTAGATCGATTTGTGATTTCGATTAAATCCACCGATCTCCTAAACCCCATACTGAAGATTTACAAAATTATTGGAGTGAATTTAATTACATTTTGATGCGCTGAAGATTATGGATTAGTAGATCTCTGTTTCACTCTTTTATTTTGTCTCGAAAATATGGATAAAAATTTACTTTCTATTGGAGTTTCAGGATTAGAGTTCCTCTGTTTAGCGTATTTTTAGCAAAGTTCTTCTCTACGGGATTGGATTGTTAAACACCTCATACCCAACCCACTCCGTTTATTCTGGTTTGGGACTGTTAGTAACCCCAGAAAGACTCCAGACAGTTTTAGAGATTCTTTAATTGATAAATATCCGTCTATTTGCATATCTTACACATTTTCTTGAAATTTACATAATGCCAATAATTTATTTAGCTTCGTTTTTAACCAGTGTTATGCAAAGTTAATAGATACGATTATCATTGAGTTCCCGTCGTTTACAAATAGTTCGCAGGTACTCTAAAATTCTAGAGTCGGAGTGGATTCTAAGATGAATGTATTTTAGTTGTTCACCACAGAAAATGGAGTATTCATCTTCACCATACTGTATAATTGGCTGTTTTAATGAGAATACGAACTTGCAAATTCATTTTTTAGCTAGATGAAGACGATATAAACCATCAACGTTTTCTTGCATAGAAGATATCGTTTGGATTCTACACACTATCAATTACTGTCTTATAACTTCAACATTAATTCAGTAATGCAACTCTACGGTAGTCTTCACGATAGCCAATTCATATATTTCCTGATCTCTCTATTATGACTGTTCGATCACATATATTTATTTTCAAAATTATACATTATTCTGTGTTTTTAAGCTGTAAGAGTCTTAAGTCTGGCAACGTAATTACGTTATGCTTCTGTGAATTGCATTAAAATTACACCTAATAAGTAGTTAATTTTGTTTTACTTTCGACAATTGCGGTTGCCAATACACATCCGTTCATTTATGTGTATTACTCTTAGATACGGTGAAATGTCAAGGCTGCGCTTAGTTGCCGCTACATCTTGGTTAAAGCTTGCACGTTCTCAGGCTTATGTTGAATGTATTGAAATTGGCTGGTATTTGTCAATGAGCTATATACTTTGTGTAAGTTTTTCTAGAAAGATCTTTGCTTTATTTTTACCATTAGTTGTTTAATAATATTTAAATTTGAATATTTTGAGCACGTATTGTATGTGCTGTGTGCTTTGGTAACAACGTTATTATCCCCTAGAACTATGTTTTTCAATCTTTAACTCTTACCAGTTGGGGATACTTAGAACCTTCGTATTACTTATGATTTCTTGAAGAATTTTAATCCGCAAATACACACGTAGTCACAGAAGTGTTCTCGGTGATCTTTTCTCTGAAGATTCGCGCGGTGTCATACTAAAATAAATAAACTTATTGACTATCCTTTCTAATTCGTTGTACCGATTGAGTTCATAAAAATCTTATTAAATGAGATGACTATATCACAACGAACTTTATAATATCGTTGAAGTTTGTCAGTATGCTATTTTTTGTTTATTACCACTTATTTTCTACCAAATTTCAACTAATGCTTTTCGTACTCTTTTCCATTCAAGGATCCATGCCCACAAGTGCGTTCGCACTTCCTAACTAAGCTCAATCAGGGTTTATATAAACTGAGTCTTCCTCTTGAGTACATGGCTATTTTCGCACACTCTGCTAATGTATCAGAACCTGCATTTAAACAACGTGCAAAACAACTTTTTATTGCGAATATTCAACGTCGTCGAGCATTTTTAAATAAACACCCTTCGTATTTTCGTGATGCCAGTAAGCCTTTCATGTTGTTTTTTCATTTGATTCTTCCATATTCAGATTTCTACAGTTCATATTTCAAGAGTTGCATACAGAAAAAGTAATGTGATTATTCGATAGGACAATCTACCTTTGAACCCTTGAATGGTTCGCACTAAATTTTCTCATAACTAAATAACTCCTCTAGCCAACCAAATAAGCTCTTGATAATTCTATTGATTATCCACATGTAACTTCCGTCTTAGAGGTGTCAAAAAATAACACAGTACACTGCTGAAAATTAAGCAGATACAATGTATAGAGCAAACTAACCTGAAATCCTAAGCCTTTCCACTTGTAGTTAAATCCCAAGGATCTAGTTTATCTCTCAGTCGTAAAATAGATATGCACAATTTTGGTCAAAAAAGTTACTTATATATCACTTTTTAAGAGAATAGTTTTATGGAAAATGTATGTCTATAGAAGGATAGAATGGATTGTATCACAAAATGGATTCGACAATAAATAACAAATGAGGTTAACGTACTAATCAGGAGGTAAGGAAGAACAAAATTTAAGGGTCAGATCATAGTCCAATTGACAGATATGAAGAAAAACGACCTTTGTTGTTTTGTCGTTTTTCCATATAACTATATATACGAATGTACAGCTTAAGAATAGTTTTACTGAAATAAGAGCAAAGTTGTGATTGAACCTCATTTCGTATGCAGTTAACTACCTAATCAAGTTATTTAGGACAAACTGTTTATGAGATCAACGATCATCATTATGTTGATCTAAAGGGAATTAATATAATAAATACATAAAGGACCAAAATACATCAATAGCTTACAGGAGATTTTCATTGTGCTTTAAAATAGACATATTATTGTTTCCTTGTTTTGATTTCATGTGTGTTGATATTCTAATAATCTATCCCCTAAGACGTGTGTACTTAAAATGTGTGGTAAATAATCTGTTAGTTAATTGTATCTTCGTTCTTGTAGTTTATTTCTTTTACATATAGTTTTCATCTGAAATTTCATAAATCGAAGTTTTGTCTAATATTGTTCCATCCGTGAGGTACGTACTCCAAAAGTAGCATTATTCTCTTATTGACCTTTTTGATCGATGAATAGCAGTTATGTGATCTGTTTGTGATCATTGTTGCAGGTTGCTAGGTTAAAACAGTTTCTCTTCATACTTAGACTTGGTGGTTTCCAGGACTAGGAGGGTATCTGAACATAGTTGCAATAGACGGATACTGCTATAACCACATTGTGCTTAGAAAAAAGAGAATTGATTGTTTGTAATTGATAATAATGTTTTTATGTTCTACTGATGTTATTAATAGTTTTTATGTATAACAGTATCTTTAAAAAGTTAATTATTTTTATAATCCCTACAGAGTTTTTATTTGGTCTGTTACCTGATTACGTATTACCGTACGTGATTTACTTACTCTCTCATGATTCCAAATGGACAAAACTAGATGATGTAGAAATACTTAATAAAATCAAAAGGTGTGTTTTTTTTGTATTAAATTAATCTAAAACTATTGTATCAGTAATATTCATTTATAGTGAAATTATGAATAATCAACATACCTTGGAGGTAATAAATTTCTAAAAAAAATTTTTTTTCTTATTGTTTACTTATATTATCTAGTGCTTTATGGTTCATAATGGAACCGATTATGTCTCATGGTGAAAATTTCAGTTTTTTGCGAAAGATTATTGAAAAAATTAAATACGCACGAGATGCCCTTCATCCTGATGATACTCTGGTTAATGAGGTGATTTTTTTTATATTTTGTTTTCTTTTTTTGGCTCGTCAGTTCACTCTTCACTTAAGAAAAATGTCTTTTTGTATTCGGCAAATAATTTATCCAATATTAAAACTAGTTTTCTGTTATTATGCAGTTAATTTCGTACTTTTTTTCAGGGGAATTTTTATGCTATATATTTGATGCTAGACGATGTTTTCTATTGACAATATATAAACAGTGAGGGAAACGACTTTTGATATTCACCTTACGTTTGTCTAGAATTAGCTCAAAGTGTAGAAACAGTACTTGTCCAAACCAGAATTGTTGATTGTTCGTTGCTTTATTCAGTCTATTGGATAAATATTCTGTCATTAGTTCTTAACGGAAATATCGTCCGCAATTGAATTAGTGGTTTTTAGATATTTTTATCATGCAATTAGAAAGATTTTAGACTTATATAGGGTGCATTCAGATTTTGTGTCAGTCTCAGCATTAGTCTGAATCTAAAGGGATTTAGGAAACGTGTTACCAGGTGGTTTTCAGTGACTAAATGAAATGTGTAAATGGCGCATTAACTCCTGACATTTTCAGGACTAACATTTCATTCCCTTTGTGAGGATGCAACATCTCTGTAGATGCTGATTACATGAAGGGAGTTTGCCTTGACGCTATCACACTGTGCAATTAACAATACTTCTCTGTCGTACCTCAAGCTGCTGCGTCTATTCTTACGTTCCTCCAACAGAACTAGCTGACATTTTAGGACTTAAGTAAATGAATGTCCCAGGAAATATAGTTTGGATCACCACGATAGACCATCACGGCAAGATGGTAATCACAGGACTAACTGGCTGAACAATAATAAAATGGCCAATATTAGAAAGTAGACCTTGGTGTAGGCAGTTTTTAGTTTTCCTTTGTGATGTTTACAGCACAGAATATTAATTAACCCCCTCTCGCATCTTCTAATCGTGCGGATGAAAGTGTTGCATTTCTCCTAATCAATATACAATGTTTTTGTAAAAGTAAATATATGTATAATAATATGAGCCTCTTTAAGCATCTTGTTTCCACCCAGTTTGAATATCAAGTGAAAATTGACCATTAGTTTAGTATTCAAACGTATGATCAGCTTTAGAACTTATCGACTATCGATCTCAAATAAAAACGTTTTCCAGAGCCATTGCACTTGCATATGGCCTTCACCTTACCTCGTTTAACGTTTGTACCCATAACAATTCAATACTGTTAATTTTTTTCTCCAGTTTCTGGATTATCGAGTTAACGTAAATTTGGAATACGATTAATGGTATATTCATAATCTTGTACTATTTACTTTAAAATCCAAATATTATCAATCCACTCTTTATCAAGTCAATGTTAAATTATTCACGCGATAGTAATAGCTCACAGTTATTGTTGGAAAATCTCGACTAGAACTTAGTGTTTTCCGTATCTGATTTAATTTATCAATCTGTTAGCATATTCATGCTTTTTGAACGTTACCGTCACTATATATTTGATGACCAACAGTAAAGTCAATCACACGTGTTGTATTCTACTTAATTTTGATTGTGAATTAGTTTTCATTTTGAAACTCGAACTAAATGTTCATGCATAAGTATTTAAAATACGTTTATTAATTGGACACCCCTATAGCCTTGTGTTTGAACCTTAGTGAAAAAAATTATCACCTTTGAAAAAGCATACTCAATTAAGATTCGACTATACCTTCCTCTAGTTGTTGATAAATGACTGGAATTATGTGGTTTTTTGCTGTGTTAACAATTGTATTAGATATATAAAAAAGTCGAAACCTGTAGCTTTTGACAACTGATATTGCTTTACTGTTGTATTTTTTTCCCTTCTTTATTATTTACTCAACAGAAACTGTATACTGTATGCGATATTTCTTTGGGTCTTTTATTATCACGTTGCATTAACCCGACAATTAAAGAGTATCCGGTGGATGTCAAGCTACCTAAAACTCTTTTTACCTCTGCACCAAGTGATTTTCGCAATCCTGATTTTAAGCAACTGATAAATATCGGTTCAGAAAGTGAAGCACAAACAGGTACAAGCATTACAAATTCACCTTTGGAAATGTCCACCAAAAATAAGGTCCAACCAATTTTACAGTTCACTCCCAACAAACACACAAAAGCATTTAAAGAGGGATTAATTCCTCCTGAGCTTGTAAAACCCAAAGGCGTTAATACTTCAAAGCCAAGGTATTTAATTAACTATTTTTACACTATATTGGTTATCGGTAATGGCCAGAACAACAATATAGTCCCGTCATATGGACATATTTTTTCACTAAGATGAAACTGTTTAGTAGTTTAACGTGTTTCTAACTTAATTATTGACTTCTGGTTTTACGTTACTTATATTTTTGCCAACTCAAATCACCTCCCAACCGGTGACGAAATGGGAGTATTTGATTCTTCACTAGCAATTTAGTATTTGGTAAGAGTATGCAGTGCTAAAAGATGTAAAACTTTACAGTTATGAACAAAAGACAATAGTCTTCTCCCAAATTTTTTCACACAATTAGGAGTTTTATTAAGAATCTTGAAATTCCATTTATCATCCGATTGTGGTTGAATTAAAACTTCCTTCTAAACCACAATTGTTGATTTTGTTCGTTCTACGAACAATTAATTACTTATCACAAGAACTGACTAATATAAATCAGGTTCGCACAAGTATATAGATTCCGCACTGTAAACTAAACGTTTATGAATACTGTTGAGTGGCCAGTTACTTAAATTTTCAATATTTAGTCGAATTCTTTATGGTTATGTCAAATTAGTCATGAGATGCTAAATTTACCATCTTTTAATGTACTAAAATCTAGCTGTTCTTTCGGTTACATACAAACAGTTTACTTAGTTAAACTGGACCTGTTAACCGTGTACAATTTCCTCACTAATTATCCCGTTTTTTATTTTTATGAACTTTCCTGAGACTCAGAATGTGTTTTTTTCATGTAGGAAAAAAGCAGAAGAAACTGTCAGTCATAAGAAAAAGGAGAAAAATGAGGTGAAACTTAAGACTAAATCAAATAATAGTGTTGACGAGCTATCAGAATATGGAAGCATCGACGATAAGGAGAACTCCCTGTCAGACAGCCGAGATAAAATAGATCAACAAAAGGAGATTATATCCATTTGTGTACCATCTACCAGTAATAACATGTTGTCCTCAGAAACTGATCCTAAAGTTTGTGCTGATATTACAGAAACACAGGAAGTGAGACCGTCTACCCCTAACCGAGAAGCTGTTAATAGGAAAAAGCGTCGAAAAACAACTCCACAAGAAAATCTTAAACGCCCACGTATTACTAAATTATCAGACTCAAATTCAAACAAAAAACAATCCACACTTGATTCTGTTGTAAAAGTTAATGAAATTTCCTCAAACAAGACCTTTTCCCAAATAGAGAATACAAGTCAACGATTGTCTTCCGCCTTTCCGAGTAAGAATGTAAACATTAAGGTTAAGAAAAACCCACAACCCAATAATGCAAAGCAAAATCAATTTCGTCCTAATGAAAACTCTAGAAGGAATATTAAAACATCTACATCATCTAAAAAAAACGACCAGAACGTCTCATTAAGACCAAGGAACTCAGTAATTTCAGAAAGTTCCCAGAAGCCTACTAGGAATCCAGGAAGAATCCCACATTCTACTAACAAAAAGCTTGTGAGAAGGAATGTAAGAAGTTCATCGAGACTAAAAACCAATAAACGTACACATCTCCCGGATGCCCTGTCAAGACGCCCATCCTCGAGAATGAGTGCGGTAATCGCCAAACAAAAGCTCCTAACCCCAATGTCTCAGTCTAGCTCAAACTCGACGTCTCAAGTGACTCCAAAACGAAAGTAAGTATAATGAAAGCTTTTAGTTTGCTTCATTGTTAAATATAAAGTATGGCTTACTTCATCAAATGCATGTATAAAAAGTTTTCACTAAGTTCATTTCTCAAGGCGGGGGCGTTCTTTACGAAATTAAGGGGACAAAAAGCGAATGTCTAGTGCTTTAACCGGGTTGGTGGATATGGAGGATCCACATGGGGGGTTGGAAAAACTTGATTTCAAACCAATTGGTGTACATGGGCTCTAGTATCCTGAAGGAACAAATGGTGTATGAACTAACCGTTAGTCACCGGCTACCATGGGACTGCATCTTCTGACGTTGTTTCACTGCCTTGTGGATTATACCTCTAGGTCAAAGGCTCCGGGTGTCGCCCTTTAGGAAAGCCACCTGCTTCGGTTTGGGCACCTGGGTAGTTTTCCAGTCCCCACACAAATCGTTCGATTTGTGTGGCTCATATATTTTTGGTACCTCCTTGTACCAATGTTCATGTGTTTAAATAAATAAAAAGTTCATTTCTTTACCATACATGGATATCCCACTTCCATTCATTCCTTACATGTGCATTAAAGTCATTTGAAAAAAATTAAATCAATATGTAATTTTTCCCGAGTAATGATGACTGTTATTTCATGTTACTTAAGCATTCTAATGATTGAATTACATACCTTCATATACGTCCCAATTGGTGGAAATGAAAAATAAAAAACTTGTTGTACGCATAAAAACAAAGCTGAATGGTTTTTAATTGAGACCGATGTAGAGAATTAGGTCCAACTATTTGCAGTAAATTGTTAGCGACCATTGTGAGCCATTCCTTATTGGAATCGAAAACCCTACAGATAACACGAAAATGAGAGGTTATCTTTACGCTCTATTATTAATCCAGTTTCGAACTTCATCTGGACATCCTTTTTCCTAAAATAGGAAATAAGCTTTTGAAATATGTATTTTGTCTATAACACAGATTGAAGGATCACTACTGTTATTCAGTAAAGCCGAATATACTTCTGACTAAAAACTGGTATAGACTACGTCAACCGAATAAGCAGACCCCACGAGTTTGACATTAAAAAAAAACATTAATCGCTTCGAAGGGTTAACAAAGAAATGCAATGTAACCAACTTAAGTGCTAGATGAAATAATTAATCATTTAAGAACTTGATCGGTCCTGGTTACTTTAAACTAAGAGGGTGAGGACTAATGTGTTATTACGACTAGAACCAAACTTTACATGTCTCCGATCGGTTAACACATTTTTGATTTCCAAAACCCTTACGGTTTATCACTTATTCTGTTTCTAGTTTTTTTAATCTTATCAGTGTTTTGAATTTGTGATTTTCTTATTTCATAGGTGATGATACCTTTTGTGCAGCAGAGATCCTGTTTTAATTCTTTTGAAATCACTTTTCGAGGATGATTTGTTTTAATAATTTGTTGATCTGATCTCGAGTTTTTTGTACCGAACTAATTTATCTTTTTCAGTAACATTTTATTGCCTGAATTCCAAGAAGTTCATTTGCTATCAGCCACCACATAATATTTCCTTGTAAATTATATTTTTTCCCAAACGCATTTATCCACGATTTTGTGCGTTCAAAATATGTGTGTAGACGTTTTATTATTAGCCCTCTTATTCACCTTCCTGAAATACACCTATGTACGATAAGATTCTTTTGATTACTTTTTTCCAAAAAAGACTTTCGAAAAACAGAGTATATTGACATTTAAAGAAGAATTAAACGCATCAAGATAATCTGTTCAGTAATCTTGTTTCACAGTCTGCTAAAGCCCAATGATGGTCGACTACTTCCAATGCTTCCCATTCTGCCTTGAATGCCTTCTGCATATCCTGTGGAGCTTGTGGTGTAGGTACTTGGTGATCTGGCAAAATCATCGAGTTATCAGCTGCGTTGTCCGAACCAAGTACCAAACCATACATACTTCTGAGGCCAAATATGTTCAGAAAATACCAAGATGCAGAGCTAACCCTAAAACCGGTTCAACTATTAAACAAAAATTTACCAGGATGCATCCAGAGAAGTAAGCGACTCACAGCCCCTTTGAAGCATGGGCTTAAATCGATAAGTGAGTGGAAATGGAACTTTCGTGGTCAAGAAGCCTGAAAAAGCCCAGTTGATCCAGCTGCCAATAACAATCATTGGAACCATATTGAGCGCATTGCTTCTTAGCATCTCAGTTGCCATTGAGGGATCTGTCGAAAACTTGGTTATAGTGTATGAGACTCACCAGCCATTGGATTATTCATTGGACTTTCTCGCTTTTGTGTTTTAAAAAACCCATGCTCCTTATCATTGAAGAAATACTTGCGCATTTTAAAAGCCTAAAATATCTATCTATTTCCAAATCTTACTTTTGCGGGCAAGAATCTTCCATTTTCACGTAAAAGTCTACTGCGGATTAAAGCATGACTGGAACGGTAAAAAAAAGTTGAACTCAAGGCTTTACCTATCACCGATATTTTCAAGTTCACCCTTTTTCTCACTGGTGAACATGATAGTCATGTAGTGACGTAAAACCCCAAAGAGGAAAGTAATTATTACAAGAGGAAGGAATACCCAGGATCGAATAGACGGGTCTAAAAATAGTTCGGCCATCTAAAACATAAGTTATTTGTTACTAAACCGAATGGTTATTTTGATTTCTTCAGATATTATTGCCCTGTTTTACGTGTTGTGATTTGCAAACTAAGTATGACTGGTCAAAAATAAGTTTGATTTAACTCTTATAGTCCACAAAATGAGTTGGCAATTGGTGCAACTAGCATAAAGGATTTATAGGAATAAAAGTGATTAGCATATCGGAGGTAACTCAAGTTTTAATTACCCACCAGTATTTTGATCTAAAATTAGTAGTAGTGAAGGTCATAGTTGTCGCGCTGACTAGTTTTATTTGCTTTATCACAGAAATCTACATTTTTAGGAGTTTATTTCTCTATTTAATGTCATATGGATAGCAGAACTGCCTTTGTTGTAACCTTATGAAGAAAGTTTGATGATAGGAAAGTTGCCCTGATACAAGTGGGAGCATACGGTTCTCATCTAATTTCGTGTTGACCATCGTTACGTTTTGTGGACGGAGGACAATTCTGCCTTCTAAGGATTTGAGCTTTGTTGGATTTAGCCTTGTAGTATTGCCTCTTCTCTTAACATAAAGCTTATGTTGTGTTTTGCGGGATATTTTCTTTTTTTAAACCTAAGTACTTGATAAAACTACCTCAAGATTTTCGCTGGTAACGACTATTTTATCTGTTGATACATGGTGTTCTCTACCGGACCAATCACATTTTAAGTGATTTCCTCAGATTTGCAAATCAGGGTCAGTTTAGAAGGTATTCTGCATTTTAAATTGGCATTCCATAAGACGAGACTATGATTTATGAACGGCGTTCAAGCGACCCTGAGAATGCTCACCAACTTACCATAGTTAAATGGGGCTTATACATTATTGTGGGGAATCGTTTAACGCTAGTTTTAATTTTGTAGTGGGAATGGTAAGATAAAATTTGTCTTTCAATACATACTTTCGACCAGTAGATTAGTGACATGCCTAGGAATATCTATCAGAAGCCGGATTTTCCCAGCCGAACCTTGATACTTGTGATAAATGAGCGTAGACTCTGACATGTAACTAACCTACCAGGTACACGTCCTTTTAAAATACATAGCATCTTTAAGCCTAGTGCGAGTATGATTAGTATTATACATAGCCTAGTAACCTGGAATATATAAATACTGACGAATGGTTAAATAGATCTATTGTGTTATGGGAATAAAGGCGAACATAACAGACCTCTGGGGTTGTGCTTATGATGTTTTGAAAGCTGGAAGAAAAGTAGACAATTTAGCGTATATTTAGGCGGAAGGTAGACAATTAAGCGACAACGAGGGGAAAGCCAGTATCATTTCCCTCGGACAGGCGAACGAGCAGACACTGGCGCGTTTCCCCTTTGTTGGTTGATTGGGGGACACTAGAGTTCTTACCAGTGTGTTCGAGTAGGTAGTTTTCCTCCCAGTCAACATTTTTATCAACCCAGACGGAATATTTAAAGCTATGTGCAATGTCACAAGTAATGAACATCCAGATACTGCAGTCTTTTGAAAACCAGTCGTGTCCCTCTAGTTGGCCTTCGAAAGCTGAACCAAGAATAGTTATGGACGGCTTTTGAGAAACGCTAGTGTAACTACCTGCTAGCTATGAATAAGTGAGGCTTATAAACCAGTACGATGGATTAAAATTATGGTTTACAGCTGGTGGTAAGGGTCTGGGTCTAGATTGAGGGTTTTCATCACGAACTATGATAGTAAGGCTTTTACCCTTATCGTTCAGATTGAAAATGTTGCTAGCTTTACGATAATTTTCCTACTTTTAGTTTAAATTTACACTAAATAGTCCGATTTCGCCTAAACTAGTAATTCGAATTGCTGTTCAGTAAACTTACAGATACTAATTTACTATCTTATCGATAACAATAGACTTATGAGATAAAGTTAAACTTTTCAAAAAACGGCTTTGTGTCGCGGGGTTTGTCGATACTAATCATGTCGAAAACTTACTATTGCACTAGCGCGATATACAACCTTGAGTACCGTCCAATTTTGGGAAACCCACTAACGTGAACGAGATTTCTTGTTCGCATACATAGGCCTGAAGACGTTGTACAATCTGTAAAGATGAAACTTAGTTTCCATAGCCATCCAGTTTCTGATTCTTGATTAATTGACTTTTTTTACTCTAATTCTCATCTTACACGATGGAGCTCTTACATAAAACTATAAAAACCAAGATCAATTAATTCGTACGTAAATACCTTTTAATAAAGATCAAAGAGTCAAAAACTGTTATTTCTCCACAATGAATGTAGCTAGTTGTCGTCCGGTGAATTGCCAATTTAACTAGGATAGCTGAACTGGGAAATGTGTGAACGCTCAATGTGATTTTTACTACTCTCGACTTACGTGCTGTAAACCAGCTTATCTTATGAATTGTTACATACAACTTACAACCCTTAAGATGTGCACTCTCTGAACTCTAAAATGAAAGGTACTACCTGATGGAATACAGACGACCTAGTAATGACAGCTATCGAAGTTCATTGAAATCATAAATACCCTGAATATTTCAATAGAAAATGATTCCGATGGGTTGAGAGAGCTTGCTTTTTCTAAAGAAGGATACCAGTTTGCAATATTTGGTGTGAAAATTCGTGCAGAGTGCGGAAAAAACACATTCTGTGTGTAACTTAAATCTTTCTGTACTGTATTTCGGAAAATTCTTTTGACTCAAGATGTAAGACTGTGTTAAGGCTTTTTACCTAGTTTGATGGCTGTTAATGAGCATATCTGGTTCTCACTAGAATTCGTTTTGGTGTGAATTACATACGTTAAGGGTACGAAAATTGTAGTGATCCAATTTTATTCTTCGCTAACGTGGTAAAACTTTGAATATCACTTCGAAAAAAAGATGATTAGCTGACGTTTCAGGTGAATCCTAATGGACTTCAAAGTTGAGCAGATAACAACGAACTTAATTTCGAAACTTCAGGGTGCAAATTAGTCCATCTGATGTATTGTAAATTACATATGTAACTCATTTGATTCTTCTCTGGGGATGTCTGAACTTGGAAAAGATGGAGCGGTCAATGTGCTCGCATCTAGATAGATGCCCTTACTTAAGACCACACTTTGTCCCATATATTTCACTATCAAATGGCCATCAATACATCGTTGACTTCGGGATGATTTTTATACTACTACACTCACAGTAACAAGATAACAATTTTAATATTTCTTCTTAGAACTTATGTATTACATGAATATGATTGTAAGCTACTAAGCGTGTGATCATTTTCATATTTCCCTCAAGTTCCTTCACTCAGACTGTCTGTGAAATGGAGAAGATTTTTCGAAATTCCCTATTTTTCAACAATTATAATTGGTTGTCAGAGTATTTGAAATCAAACGTCAACCCCAAATTTGTGAAAATCCCCCCCAAAAATCCTGAGTGGAACGTGATATAATCGCTACGACTCAACAATGACTGGTTTTTTCAACTAAAAGTGCTCCATAAGATTTTCCCTGACTTTAAGCTCTTTCCTATAACCAACATTGATGAACCAAAATATTCAGTCTGATTTGCTAACTAATAATTTCTGATATAGTGCAATTTAATGCAGGTAAAACTAGATGAGCGAAACTGGATGTACTATATTTTGAGTTCGTAATGAAAGTTCGATCAAGTACAAATAATTATCAGTTGGTAAATATATCACACAACACAAAATAATCATTTATTACATTGTTTTGCCTAGTTCCCAAATGGTATATTCACAGTTATTCTCAAAGTCTAGAAGACTTTTTACGAAAATATCGTTTATTAAATAAGACTCTGGAAAATTTCATGCAACACCACTCCACACACTATCCTTAATCAACTTCATAACAATTGGTAAATAAACAAAAAGTTGTTAAGACAACGAATGCCAAACAGGCACCGACAAATTCGACAAAAGTAGCCGGTATGTGACCTGTTCAGACACTCACTAGATTCGCATCAACCGTCAACAGAATGGTAGCAGGCCATTCTCCAATCTTCAAAGAAAGGAAAAAAGTGACTCGACCTTTTATAGACTGGTCAAATTACCCCATTGCTGTTGGAGGTAACGGGAGGACTGTTCAAGGAACAAATGAGCGAATACATGGATAAAAACATCGTCCTCCGTGAAACTCAACACCGGTTCAGGAAAGACAGGTGCTGCGAGACCAACATCCTCATAGAATGGGACAGCTAGACGACCTGCAGAGGCCAAAAGACAGGTTTGTAGACCCATGGTATACTTCGGTATTAGTACTACTATAGTTACAGACCCACTCCCCAAACTGTAGATTTGTTATGACGTGGCTACCTAATCCCTAAGTTCTTATATGAAAGTCATATAGTATACACTGACTCCTGACCACCAGCAATATAAAGATTAGCATTTCTGATGGACATATATTTGGGCTTAAAAGATAGTAATATATTTGATAAAAATGGAATAGGTTATAGTCGTAGCGCCTACGTGACCGAGTCATGCCATTTCGATGAACTGTTCTCGCGTTCACCATGGCTGATATTATATCCGTGTTAAATGTTGGATACGAATTTTCTCAGTTATTTCATGATCAGCTTCGAAGATCATATGGTTAGAAACAATATCACTACATGTCCATAAAATATTGTTTTACTTTGCAAAAGTGTTCCTCGCAGTACCACACATACTCCTCACAATAAGTCACAAAGTTGGGTTTCACGGAGTAACGTTTATCTTGAATTCAAAACCTCCTGGAGAACAGTATGTTTCGT